TAATAAACAAAACAAAACACAACACAGCTGGGTCAGCCCAAGAAACAACTGCAGCAAAAAGTTCCCAATAGATGGAAAAGCATTTAACTGCAATTACTGCTGGATAAGAGACATGCTCCAGGGGCATACCCAGCTGACTATGAGCTGCCAGCCACACTCAACACCCATCAGTGGGGGCTTACTGATAATGTGGTAAACATCCTAGCAGCTTTTGAGGACCTCAAAAAAGAAAATCAGCTCAACAACAGCCGCAAAACTGCACATTGTTGGAGGACGTTCAGAGAAGGTTCAACAACATCGAGAAATAGCTACTGCACACTTTGGCCACTGCTCTTGATCCTGGCCAGAAGAACCTATTGAATAAAAACCCACAGCACGCACCTGCCACAGAAATGCCTCCTGTTAAAAAACATCTATAGCCTTCTGCTTTCTGCACATGAAATAATACTGAAGGAGAAATCTGAGGGGGGGCAACTGCTTACTCTCTGTCCCATGTACAAGTTTTTGACAGTGAGCGCTTGTTCAGCTTGGCTGGAAACGTGGTAGATGAGAGAAGAAACAGACTACATGGTGACAAGGCAGAGATGTTCTTGGGTGTGAAAAGAAAATCTGCCATTAATAGTAGTATGATCGTAATTGGAAGGGAAAAAAAACACCCTAAAGGTGCCTTTTTATATTCTTTTGTATTCTGCTGTGCCTAATTTCCTTAGAAACAGTACAGTAACTGCTCTTTTGTTTTCTCAAGGTTTTTAAAAGACAAAAAAAAAGTTCTCCTGTAAAATGATGCACTTTTTCATTAGAAATGTGTTTAGAAGAGAAATAGGATCCAGTGTCTGTTCTCACATTCTTAGTAAAAACTGGTCGGAAATATACTTGGGTGGGCCATCCAGGTGTCGTCTATGTGTGGGAAACACTGCACAAGCCGGCCGCCGATGATGATTTATTATCACTGTTAAATTGTTCTTTACCTGTATGTTGCTTGTATGTCATTAACAATTTTTAACAAAGTTCATCTGTTTAATTTGCATGACGAGCACAGTGATTGTAACTTCTGATACGTCATCGTGTGTGCTTCAGGTGCACGTAGCTGCTAAAATTGTGATGCTTGAACTCTTATCATTAAGCCCTAGAATCAGTTCACCCCTTTCAAGACATTCACAGATGGCGGGATTGTGAAGGAAGCAATAACCCCCAGTGGCTGATACATGAGACAGTTGGGGCTATCATTTTTTTTTTTTTTTTTTTTAAATTAAGTACAAACGTTACACAATTATTTGATAACTATTGTAATTTATCATTATGAGCCTATGCTGCTGGATTTGGAGCTCCACTTGAGCTATTACCATTAATTATTATTACTGTATGATTGCACTGACACTCTGATTGGACTGTGTGAAGTATTGTAAAGAAGCAGCACAGCAAAAAAAAACAATAGGTAAGCTTAACATGAAAAATATATTGATCCACGGGATGGATAAACACATATATCCACAAGCTGATTTCACCAAAAGCTCAATAAAAAACTAATATTAATCTGAAAACACCATGGAAAATTTGCTTTAATTATGACGCAAATGGAAAGTGGGAGATGTCAATCAACTATGCCATCACTGCCATGATCTCCATAATGCTAAACCAATTAAAAAACGACCTAAAACAGCAATAATCTCTGTGCTCAAACCAATTCAGCCAAAAATAATTCAAACCTCAAAAGGCAACCAAAGGAAACGATTACATCACTTAATAACAAACCAATACACCAAATAAGCTCTGCCAGCCAGCAGAGGGACAGTGTACAAAGCAAAAAACATTGTTGTCACATTCTTGCAAGATGCTTTTTATGCTACTTACTTCGCTTGTTGAAGTGAAGCTTGGTCCTCGACGAAGTTTTTCAGGAGGAGCAGATAAATCAAAATCAAACCAGGACGAGGCGCACTTGATGACGGACTTGAAGCGTCATTTGAGCCCCAAACCCAGTAAAGTACACCAGGTAAAGTTAATATTTTTCGTGAACACAAACCTCTTTTATCGTGCAATTACATCTCAACTCCCGGGCTAGCTTCCATATAAATCAGCTGTGGTATTTTCCGAGGTCTGACACTAAATATCTAGCTAACTTTTGATGCTAGCTGCTACCTAACCGCGCAATTCATTACTACCGAGATCATGTGGAAAAGTGGGCGGAGCAATGAAGGCTTAAATTAACACTAGAAGGACGAGATGGTGTGTTCAGGGTGTGTTTGATTTTAGTTATCAGTACAGCCAGTGAATTGTAACATTGTAATATGAAAAATATATTGATCCACGGGATGGATAAACACATATATCCACAAGCTGATTTCACCAAAGCTCAATAAAAAACTTAAAAACAAATATTCATCTGAAAACACCATGGAAAATTTGCTTTAATTATGATGTAAATGGAAAGTGGGAGATGTCAATCAACTATGCCATCACTGCCATAATCTCCATTATCAGTACAGCCAGTCCAATTTGTCCTTAGGTCATAGTCGGGTCATATTTATAACAGGTTTTGTTATTTGTTGTTTATTTTGTCTTTCTGTGGTACATTTAACGGACATTATTAGAACCACTGTGTGTTGCATCACATGCCACAACTGGTCCTAAATCAAAACATGTTAGCAGGGTTACTAATGTAATGCTGCTTTGTATATTTCACTGATAGGCTACTTGCATTTGAGTATTTCATTTATTGTAATTCTACTCCACCTCATTCCAGAGAAAAAGTTTTGTTGGATTTTCCAAAGGAAAGCATGCTATCAGTTTATAAACTACAACACATTTTCATAGGTGGAAATACTGACAAATATAAAATCAAATTCATGAAACATGTGAATGCATGAGAAAAACACTTCCTACTGTAACTTGGGGTTACAAACTGGGAGTAGATGGGAACTGGCAAAGGACCCCAGAGCCTCAGGAAATGCTAAAGCATTGTGTGGCAGTTGATTTCTTATAAATATTTAGAGGGAAACTGTCTGGGAATACACAGTAACATAAATAAAAGCATATGTAAAGTTATACATGTGGACCTTAAGGTATTGTAATTTGTCTACCAAGATCTTGGTGTTTTAATGTACATGGTACGTGTCTATAAATACCATAAGGAGATACAAGGTGTAAATAGGAACCCCAATAAGGGCCATTTGTCAAATTAATCCACACATGACTTGAAGTGTGCGTATTTGTATTTCTGAACCTACACTTTCCTTGAAAAATAAGTAACAGTAGTCTGAACACTAGTCAGCAACACGCATATTTTCCTCCCTCACAAGTCCATGCATGCTCACTGACCTTATCAAACAAGGAAACCCCTTATTACATGTCATCATTGGAAGGATCCACCAAGACATACACACCTGTTATAAATAACCAGATACCCTCTACGTCAAATTGCATGCAAGGCCAGGCAAAACAACCCGTCTTTTTTTCAGGAAGGACAGAATATCCATGTAGGGAGGAGGGATGGAGGCTTATTATGGCTGGAACATGCTGGCTATCCTTAAACTGCCTGGGTAAATACTGGCAGTGTGACAATAGGCCAGCTTGAGTTGAGAAGACTGTCACCTCAGCTTTAATCATACCTTGGATCTTCATGCTGTGTCTTCTACTTTTCACTGTTTTGGACATAAACACACACCTTAGACTCTTAGAATCTGCAGATTCTTAATTAATCAGAAATAAAAGCCCCAGGAGGTAAATTGGATTAAAATAAATATTTATACTGTCTCTAAAAAAGCTAACATTTAAGACATATTATGCACACAAAACAAGTCATATCTCAACTTATTCCTTAATCACTATCGCTACATCTCTCCCTGCTGTGGGAGTGACAGTTCCCTTCAGATCTCCTCAAGCTTGGGCGCAGATAACAGCCTGTCTGAGTGCCACTTGTTACAGGATGAAGTCACCCTCATCGTGCACACATGCGATCCCCATCCTCATAAATCTATCTACATTCTAATCTGCTGCATCTCTGTGGGCACCACTCCCCTTTCTAAGTACCTCCAGTTCACTTCTGCACTGATGAATAGCAATCAAGTGGCGCTTGTAGGTGAAAATGTAACACAAACTGATATTTACATTTCAGTTATTATCACAGCCCTCAGCATGGACGCATGCAATCCTGTTGTGTTTGCACAGGGACACTTTGAGGTTAGATAGGTGGCATCTTCTCCCTTTAATCCCTCATCTAGGCAGAACTATTGTGGTCATCTCATAACTTTGTTTTTTTGGGGGAGATACATGTTGCATGACTATTGTTGCTATCGTTTTTAAAAAGATGTGTGTCAACATCTTGACTGTTTTTTAAATAAAAAGGCTCAGTATCTTTTACACAATTTGTAGGTATACCACTATCCTGTTTCAACATCAGAGGTCTGATGAAGCCCCCAGTGACCCAAGGAACTTCACTGATTATGCATCCCAGTGAATCCTAGAGATGTAAAAAAAAATTAATAATAATAAATGTATCTTGCAAGCTAATTTCAATCTTATACTATGCATCTGTGTTTCATTTAAAGGATGGCAGTGTGTTCCCCTGAAGAATGTGGAGTATATTAAATTAAATAATACATTTTTTACTTGTTTTTCTTGTCAAGGAACCTTCAGATTACATTCTTTTTATGAGCTGAACTGCTTTATCTTGCTTTAAAAATTACCAATGAAAGTTCTGCTTTCCAAATTGTGAACAACATTCAAGTAAATCCGCGCGTATTGTTTACATTAATTTAGTCTATCCAAAAGAAGCATGAATGTAGCATTTTAAATTATACGCGCAAGTGTGGATGCCAGCCCATCATCCAGGTAATTTCTGCAAATATTTGAGTGTTTAACCTCACTGTGCAAACATTGGCAGGTAAGATTACCATCTAGCTGTGGAAGACCTCGGGGGGGGGGGAAACTGTGCAGATCAACTTGTTTATTATTAGTGAAATCAAACACCTTTAAGAGCGTGTCAGGGACAGCTTCAGCCAACATCTAGTGTAAATACAGGTTTTATTAGGGATGAACATGTTCCATGATAAACAAGAGGGAAAACATTCACAGTACATTTCATCTCCCTTACATGGTGCACCGTAACATCGTACAACTTCATAAGCCCATTGTTGCTCTACACAAATAGCTTCCTTACAAAAATACTCAAGAAGGCAAACGATAAGGACATTTGGGGGCATATTGGCCATTTAAAAATTTATGATTTTTCCTCTCCCTTAATTTCATCAAAACCTATACAATAGAAAAAGTGGCAACAAGCTACAAATAGTAAGAAAAATGTCCCATCTAATAGTCATTAAAGACAGCAATTTCTTGTGTAAATTGACGTGCAAAAATATTAACCCTTCATGAGCAGCGATGACATCTGCAGCTCTACACTTGCATAACATACAGTAAAACTAGCCAGCAGGAAAACTGAGGTCTGATGGTTAAAAATGAACACAATGTGAACACAAAACAGAAGGCAATTGGTCAAGTTTAGGATAACAGAGGCATGGCTGATTTAAGGTTGGTGGATGAAATATCACTGGTCCATTAGTTAGTCAAAGGATATTGGTCTGATGAAGGTCATATGGAAAGTTATTGGTCATTTTATGGAGAGGTAGGAGAGTTGACGATGTATCGGGTCCCAGGGTGAAAGTATAATAACCAACCTCCAACAGTACTTCCGTTTACATTTCAATACAACAAAAACTACCAGCCTGTCACTTCAGGAGCTATTGTTCCTTAAACTGCTTACAAGTTCATCTGCGGTTAACTGAATGTCTAACATTGATTGACTTCTGGTGTCTTCTTAATTGTGGTGGTCTAGTTCAATTGGCTCTGCTATGTAAAGTCAGGTGTAGAATGGGAACTACTGTCAATATGTCAGGGATCTTTAATCAAGTGGTTATACAACAACCAATTAATCTATATTTGTGCCGTTAGATCTCAAAAATGGGGGGTGGGGCGGGGAGGGGGGTTGGCACAAGTTTAAGTTTATGGCAAAATGATAAGCTTTAACTAAAGAATTGGGAGGGGGGGGGAAATGCACACTTAATAATATCTTCAAACAAATCCTGTATTCTGAAATGTATCAACAAGCTAATTAACGGCTTTGTTGCATCAGACTCTACATATCAGTAATGATACCATCTGGCTGTACTTTACAAACAGTGATCCTTCATTACCCTCTAGAGCAATAATGAGGAAACACATATTGGAGTGTATGAGCCACATTCACTAGAAGAAAAAAAAACAACCTCTTTTACCACAAAGGCCAAAGGCTACCATCACATGTATTTGTAATATCAGAACCACACAAGAGGACAAGACACACCTGGTTCAAAAACATCATAAAATCCATTCGGCTATCAGATCTCTGAGAGTGTTTGTTTCATCTTTACAAGAGCTACAGGACAGCTGTGGTCTCATACTTATTAAAGACCAGATCAATTTGGTTTTATTGCATTGAATGCCCGGTAGGTGACGTTTGAATGGATTTTTTTGAACTGTTTTTGGATCCACGTGTGCTTTCTGCACAAAAGGCAAAGGTGGAGGTCACAAGACACAAGAGTCAGGTAAAAAGAGAAAAAGAAAAAAATGGCATGAATAGCTTCCAACAGTTGGCATAGTGACCATGTAGGCATGTTCTTAGTTAATTATTAGTCCAAATACAAAAAATCTCTCAATACAGTACAAATCTGAAACTGAAAGAACTTTACAACAATGTTGAACTATTATGCTTTTTTTCTTTTTCTTGTAAAGAAGAAGAAAGTGTGACATAACGATTACAGGAAACAAATCAATCAAAGGGAACATCGAATTCCTCTAACAAAAGAAATCTCTGGAGAAAAAGAAGGAATAGAACAGTCTTTACAATGAGGGAAAACATCAAGAGCTTAAGCATCTTATCCCTCTTCCTCTGCTGGTTCACCATTCTATATTTTTCCTTTTGTTATTCCAACGCATCTTACATTTTCCCTCAACTATTGACTATATCCTATAAGTCTTAACAGTGAATTAAACATATTTAACATGTTACTGTACCTACAGCTCTGATTGTTTTACATTAATGCAGGTGTCTAAAATTAAAAGGACTTTTATGTCAGCTGCTCTCCAGATTACAGACCACATGCACATGGTTACCCTTCTTTATGATCTAGGAATAAAAGACCTGACAAAGTGTATTTGCATTGTTTGGCTCCTACTGCACACCTTTTTTTTTTTTTTACAACAACATTACTGTTTCTTTTATTCCTAGATGACAGGAAGGGTGTGCCAACAACTGTTTTGTTTTTATTGATCATCACTGCTCAATTTTTGTCATTCAAGTTGAACAGTGAGGATCTTAATGCTGTGATCCGACTCGTCATCCTCCCTAATCCATGTGTGCTGTTATCGGAAGTCCTTCGGCCCACCTTACTGGCTCTGGGACTCGCGGACCTTAGCTTGCAGGGCATCACAGGTCTTCTTGGCATCGCCTAGCAACATTGCAGTGTTGGGCTTGTAGAAGATGGGGTTATCTACTGCAGCGTAACCCACTCCCAAGGAACGCTTCATCACGACCACCTAGAGGGGGAGGAGAAAAAGTCACATACAAACTCTTGTTATGCTAAGCCTTTAATGAAAAAAAATTACAAACACGAATACTGAAGAAGCTTTAAATTCAATTCTGCCTAGTCTAAAATGTATGTAGGTGTTTCAAATGTAAAATAAATAGGCCTACATAAGAAGCTGAAACTAAAAAATAGCCATAAAGAGTTCTGTGTTTTCAGCTATACACCTGCCTGTGTGTCTCTCTGTGCGTCTGCATGAGTGTGTGTGGTTAAACAGATTGTCCTCTTTGATTTCCCCCCGTAGGGAAAGTGTGTGGAAACTAGCAGGAGCGCTTTATAAATCCCAGATCTCGGAGCAGTGCCAGTGGGATGCTCCGAATCTCGTCATTCCACAGCGACACAGTCACCACTAATGGGATCAGGATGGGACCGCACCTGGAACTGTAACAATCTGTCTCTGTGTTTATGAGAGCCTTAGAACATGTGTGTGTGAGCGTGAGTTTGCATTTTTTATGTCTGCCTGTGTATATGTGTGTGTGTGTGTGTGTGTGTGTGTGTGTGTGTGTGTGTGTGTGTGTGTGTGCGTCTTCAGATTGAGGCCCCTCTGCTGTTGTGTAGACTCCAACATTCAGTTGTGGCGATAAAAAGCAGTCCAGTAAAATCCTCCATTCCTCTTTATCTTTTTCGGGCTTCAGGACAGCCTCATTATCAAACATACGTTTGCCAGATGTCTCACCTGCTTAGACTTCCAAACCTCCAGCACGGGCATACCAGCAATGATGGAGTTAGGGTCTTCCTGAGCGGCTGAGTTGACAGTGTCATTGGCACCGATCACAAGGGTAAGGTCAGTCTCTGCCAAGACAAACAACAAGTTCACATCAAGCATCTCATTAAGTTGATCCTGATTTAGTAAATTGGACATATGGTTCACGAGTTCATGGCTCACTTATTTGGAGATGGTGCATGACACATTTAGAGAAGATGGGATCAATATTGTGGGAAAAAAGTTCATGCAGTAACTTTTGGTGTGAAACCACAACATTGTGTTATTTCAAGTAGAGAAATGCAACAGATTCAATTTTTACCAAGAAATAAATTAATACAAATATAACTGCATGAAGTATCAAGAATGCAACACATGATTTCTACTTAATAAGCAATAACACATGATTATTACTCCATTTCTATTTGTGAAATCAACTTTTGTTGAGCAAAAAAATGTATACCATGTTTTTTATTTATTTTGGAGCTTTGTTTTAAAGGAAGAATGTGTGTCTTTTTGATCCAGTAGATGTCGCCCTTGAGCACAAACATACACTAACAACAAACTGCTGTTTGGCGACACCTGAGCTATTCTGAAGCCTCCGCTCTCCTCCAGTCACACACACGTTTGCACAAAGGACTTATCAATTAGAACGAACCATTAAGCCCAAGCGGCGGACAAAATTGTCCTCAGCTCGAGCTGCAAAAAACCTGTTGGCCTGCATTGTTGTATTAGCAGGCTAATGTTAGCACACTTTAATTAGCTCGTAGCTTCACATTGCACATAAATTGACACTGAATGACCGTGATCTAAACACACTTATGTGACATCCCAATAAGCAGTAAGTATGTTATTCTTCTTTTCTCTAGTCCTTGACTAAAACAGTCTTTGTAAACATGATGTAAACACAGGCCGACACCAGTACAGCTAGCGGGACTCGCGCTTCTCACTCATTATAGCTAGTCATGAATCAGAGACATTTGCAGATGATATACTTGATTTCTTCTGTAATTATATGTAAAATGTTGCATATTCTTCCAGGAATTATTTACTCTTCGGGAAATACTTCTATTTATTTTCTTGCCAAGAGTAAGATGACACAGTTAGCTTAGCCTGATGGCTCCCTTTTTCCACGGTTTCAAGCTGCGACAACAAGCCAATCAGAATACACTTATAAAGCTAACTGTCTTCTGGCTCTATTCTTGTATAGTGTAGATCAACTTAAAATAGCATTGATCTTCTCCCCCACCACTTGGAAAAGAAAGCAAATAAGTCAGTTTCCCAAATTGTCAAACATCTCCTTTAACACCTTATTTTTTTAACGCATACTCCCCTTGATGGCAACTCTCTGAAAAGGTGCCGCAAAAATGTAACACACAACAATACGCAACTATACTGCATTAAATTTATGGCAAATAAAGTGTGAGGCAGAATGACAGACTGGATCTTACCAGCGAAGTCCTCATTAATCTCCTCCATTTCCAGGACGATATCATACGGGACACCAGCTTCAGCCAACAGCACATTGAGTTGACCAGGCATGCGGCCAGCCACAGGGTGAATTCCAAACCTGTGGGGACAAAAAAAAAATACGTTAGCAGAGTCCCCAGTCTACAAACCTGTTTACTGATCATCATTTACTGTAACGCGGCTTTCTTAAAACCAGACAAAGGCATGGATCAGGGAGAAGAAGTCAAAGTAAATGGAGCTGGACAGAAATAGAGGCAATAAGATGGAGGCTCGGAGTGGAGAGATGTCGGTGGTTTTGGTGTGGTTACACACATTATCCACTGCACTCCTCCACCTTACATCATCTGTTGTGTATGGGCATGTGTCACTGGGTGTACACATATCTCTCAAACTCAATTAGCCATGTCATGTAATCAAGGTAGGAAATGAACAGAAGCTACTGAAGTCTGGCGGACGCAGCTCTCCAGCCGCCTCGCTGTGTGACCGAGCTCCGTTTGGAGATTTATCTTCTATTTGTTTGGCGAGTTTAGGCAGATACAGAGAGCGGACGGCCTGCCAGTTCTGGGATGTATTAGAGACACCGGCTGCTGATTGAAAGCGTCAGTTTCTGCCTTTAGTTTAATTCCGTACAGTCCACATGCATTAGCGGACAGTGGTACGACGCAGAGGATTTTAACTTGAGGGGGAGGAAAAGTGTGTTTCGCTTTAAAACCTTGATACACTGTGGTATCCAGATAGACATGTGGGACATTAAGAGTGAGAAAGAGGTTTAGAAGAATCCCATAAGACACATTTTAAGAAGTAGAAGACAAGTGATGAATCAGGAGAGTGGATTAGCATAAAGAACATAGAAAAGAGAACAAATAGGAGCAGAAGAGATCAGGGTAAAGGTTTTTTTTTTTCTGACCACCCACTTTCCTCTAATCAGGCACAAATGCTCTAAGTAGCAGCAGCTGCAACAGTCAGGATCAAACAACTGAGGCAGGGCAATTACACAAGCTTCCGCTCCACCTTGTCCTCCGTCTCCTCTCTTCTGGTTTCCTTTTACTCATTCTTTCTTCACACACAGGTCTTCCTATCTGTCCTGTCCCATCTTTTTGTCATCAAGCCCAGAACCCCAACTCTTCTTCTCTGTCCTGTATGTCTTGTTACTGGTACCTTCCTTATTCTACACATACTTTCATCTACTCTCATGTTAATCCCAAAGGATATACTGCCTGTTCTTGAAGATATCTCATACTTTAACTACTTTTTCTTACAAAACTGTTTGCATAAGACACAGAAGTAACCGGGTTTTCTGAACAAAAACAATAAAATGTCTTTATAAAGCACTTTTCAAGTACTCAAAGACAATGTATGTGAGTTAAAAAAAAAAATTGACAGATCAAAACAACACAGTAGGAACAAACTAACAATCAAGCAACGTTACACACAGGTCTTCTAAACAACAACATACAAACACACACTTAAAGCTTGTTGAATGAGGTGAGTCCTGAGCTGTGATTTGAAAGAAGATGTGTCAGTGCAGTCTTGAATGTGTGTGGGGTGTGAGTTTCGGGGGGGAGGGGGAGGGGGGTGGGGGTACCTATGGTGAAGGTTCTGTCCCTCCTGGTTCATTTACAGTTTAACTAAATATGTTTTTAAAATCAGCCATTTACCTGACATCTTTGCCAGCTTCATGAAGCATCTTCACCAGCTCGGCGATGGGGTACTGGGCCTTTGCAGCGCAGAGTCCATAACCTGAAAGAGGTTTGTAAATAACAACAGCTTTAAGTAATGAGCTCATATCAAAGCACAGTGCAGACTTGTGTCTCAACACATAACAATTACTCTAAGGTCAGTACAGATGAACATCCAGACGAATGTGAACATGTAACTTCATGGGGTGTTAAACAGCTGAAATAATGATGCAGGAGACAATACAGAGACAACTTGATCAGAAGTTTTTTGCTGGAAAAGCTGTAGAGAATTGAAGTTACGTTTAACACAGAAGTGGAATGTACTGTTAACAACTACAGAGGGATTATTGTATGTGATTGTGACATCTGTATGTAACGCTTTCAAGAAATTAAGTCAGATGCTGAAAAGAACTAATGTTAGAGATTAGTTCTTATATAGAGCACATGCACATTATTTCATTGTGATGCATTACGTAAAATCTGAGTAAAAAAAGTGTTTTATTTGATTTCTGCTTTTATATGTCTGATTACTTTGTTACTCTCTTTATTGTCCACCATGTTTTAGAAGTTCTGTAGTATCTATCACTAGAAGTGTTATCAGATTTGCTCACAAAAACATTTTTTAAAGGATATAAAAGTAACGACTTTTATTTTTGTCATGTTAACAGATACTCAAGCTAGTCAGTTCAAGATATTTACAACATCAGGGTAAAGCTTCCGTCCACAAGGGCCGAGGAAAATCTAAATATCAAGAGTTCCTCATATCTGCGCTTTTAAACCTTGAGATTATAGATTTTTAAAAAATCCTGTTGATTTGCTTTCAGCACTCAGCTGGCACTTATTTCTGCACAGTACCAGTATATGTTTTCGTTACGCCAAGCCCGGGACCTCCTTCATGTTTTATAATGCTGGTGTGTGGTACTTGATTTTTATCACACAGTCACACACACAAACACATGTCAAACGGTCCAGTGGTGTTTACTATCCTTGTCACAACAACCAGTCAGAAACCGTTTTGTTACGATGACCCAGTCAAAAATTACATGCTTTCAGACCGTGCATACAGAGGAGAAGAAAAATTCTCTTTGAGAAACACGGCTGACTGTCTACAGTTCGGCTCAACAATTTAATAGTTTTCACTTATTTCCCTCTCGATCACCACCAGCTCTGTCATTGCCTGTGCTTTCAATGTTCTCTCTGGAGTTTCTCCTACAAGAAAAACAAGTGGGTCCAGACCATGCGGAGATGGGCCAGACTAAGCCAGGAAAACACTTATGTTTATCAGGCAGAGTCTTTACCATTTCCACAGATGTCAATCAGGCAAAGTGACCGTGACGGCTCCAATTAGGGAGAATGGTAAAAATGGAAACAAGGCACTGAGTGAAAGCCGGCTCTAGGTAACAATACCAGTTTGACAGCTGAACACTTGGGCAGAGCTAAGAGTTATATATTTGAATAGTAACTTTCTGATCCTCATGTTATTAGCTATTTGCTGTTGAGTTTTGGTGAATTTACCCGTGATGTAATTATCTGTATTTCAGTGGTTTCTATTTCTCAATAATTCCTCACAGAAATGTCTGGCATCTTACTATGCGTCTTGACTCGGTGTGGTATGTTTGCAGAACATTGTGGGGGCAAAAAAAAACAAAAACAAAAACATTTTAATTACCGCTCTTTCATTTTTCTCAACCTAGTTTTGGTTTCAGTGTTTGTGATAGAAAAGTACGAACGAAAAATAAAGACGTTTTAATCTACGCTGGATGTTGCTCCATTTCTTCTCAACCATGTGAACGCTTTAATTTCGCAATTCTTGTAAATTGCAGAGGTTTCCTCTGAAGAGTTGGTTTTTTTGTATATGGGCTCTCAGCGCTATGACCGTAATCGCCAATTTGCAGGATGGATGCCTTTGGTCTGTGTTTACATGTACCCACGTGAGTAAAACAACTCTTTGGAACTAGTTCCCAACAATCTGGAGAGGGGACTGAGAAGTCAGTGGGCCACACAATGACGAGTTTATGACGGCAGGATCCAGCGTAATTGACCAAGTGGGAGGCTCACACATATATTTATGGTCTGATATTGAAAACATGTGAAAAGAAGAAAGGCATGTTGCTTGAACAAAGGCTGGACACAATGTTGTAACACTGAAAAAGGAGCTAGAAGCCAATTTTGGACATAGTATTGGAATTGTCAACAAAAAGCCAGCATACCATCTTTCCATCTAATTTTCCCTTGACCTTGCGTATATATACGCTGCACTGTAGAATGTCTATTTACCAGGGACTGACGACCACACAGAAACCCAAGAGTATGTGTGTGTGTGTGTGTGTGTGTGTGTGTGTGTGTGTGTGTGTGTGTGTGTGTGTGTGTGTGTGTGGCCACTCCAGCAGGACTTGTCAATTAGGCTAGCAAGATGGTGATGTAACATGGGTCAAGAAAAGGTTAAATAAACAGAACTTGGCTAATGCTGAAGAAAAAAAAAAAAAGACACTGGCAGAGTCAAAGTACCATGTTTTTCCACTCATGTACAAGACCTCTGAAGTGTGTGTAGTGTGTGTGTGTGTGTGTGTGTGTGTGTGTGTGTGTGTATTTGTGTCTTACCTGGAGTGATGATTATGCTCTGGGCGTCTTTAATCATGTCGACAGTCTGATCCACGTTGACCTCGGTGTGTGTCCCTGTGATCTCCATGGGCTTTCCTGTGCCGGTGGAGGACGTGCCGTAGCCTCCCAGGATCACATTAGCCAGAGAACGATTCATGGCCTAATAAGAGGGAGAGAGTTCTTGTTTTTTTTTATTGTAAATGATTATTTAAGTTTTGTTGAAATTGATTTTATCTGTACAGCAAAGTGCAGCATTTAGAGAAAAATGACAAGGATCCTTCCTTAAAAGAAAACTAATTTGTAAACTGAAATTAGATTTAAAACAGTGTCTCTACTCTGGTAAAGTTAGAGTACCCCCTGGTGGATGGGAGAGGAACAACGATAAGGCCATCAAATGCAGTGCTTCTCTGGTAAACACTCCGATATTAAGTTCTTCTTCAGATCGAGACGGTTTCCACTCACCACACACATAATATAAGACAGGATGGCTCCAGACGATCCAATGAGAGCTCCGACGATGGTCAGCAGGTTGTTATTGAGCAGGAAGCCCTCAGCGCATAGGGCCCACCCGGAGTAACTGTTCAATACGGTGATGACCACGGGCATGTCAGCGCCGCCAATAGCTGCTGTCAGAGTTACACCCTAAATGAAAGAGGAGAAGTTTTAACCAGACTGGTCAAAAGATTCAATGAATGCAACAGCAAATGCAAAGTCTGAACAAATTCTCTCAACATAAGAACAGAGAGAGACTTGCTGACTAATATGATATCTTAAAAAAAAAAACATTTATCTTTCATTAGAGGGGAATCTGTCTTTTTAGCTTCACTTACATTTTTCACAATCAGATTTTGTAGTTCTCTGTCCCTCTATCATCTGTATTGTTCTGAACAAGAGCCAACTGTGGTTATCTTAGCAGCAGGAATGTTTGACTTTATTTCAGTTTGCACAGGTGCACATCATCAATTGGTCTGTTGGAGGATATATTATACTGTACTTGAAACGCTGATTACAGATCATCTGTTTGAAACTTATTCATTTATAACTGAAACTGAATTCACTTCCATCCATTAATACAGCTAGTTATCACACACTGATTTCTCCTGAAAAAAAAAGTATGCATGAAAAAGCGAAGACACAAACATTGCAACACATCACTTCATATTTGTGATCAATATAATACATGACTCTCTTTTTACAGCAGAGTTACATTAGTGTGCAAAGGGCAGGGATCACCTGATTATCATCTATTTTCTGGTACAACTGAGCAACTGAGTACTTCTAAAGACTGTTTGAACCTATTTCCAGAAAAAGGTATCAATATCTGATCTGTTTCATTGGTTGACAAAAGCCTGTTTAACTTCGTGTAAATTAAATGCTCTTTCTGCAGAATTTAAGAGCAAGTACCTACAGCAGAAAATTAACGAATCTCAAAACTTAATTCCCCCAATAATATACTAACTGTCTCCAGTTCATCAGTTTCTTTTATACTTTGAGATATTTGCAACTCGTGCAGGAGGTTGATCTGCAACATGCTTATTGAGATATGTCAAGTAAAAAAGATCTATATGGTGTTGTTGACCCTGGACATCTCTGTCTCTGACAATTGCTGTTACTTCTTCAGAAGTTAAGCATGTAAGCATTGAGTCAAAGTATGAGTTTGGCAGTTTTACAATTCAAGTCTGTGTGTAACTAGACTGAATTGAATTGTTATCAGCTCTCTCCTCAACTCAGATGTTTGGGCAGTTACCATTACCTGTCCAAGAAGCTTCCTTCTTTTTTCACCTTTGCTTTCTTTGACCACAAAAAAATGTTTTTCTTCCTTTATAAAGACTCAAAAGATTCTTTTTTAAAGACAGTCAGCATAAAAAAAAAATCCAATCTACAGTATTGAAGTGCATGTTTCACCTTTCTTAGGCCTCCACCTAGGTCATTAAAAAGTCCAAATAATTAAATTAGGATGCAAACATGCACACACAAACATAACATACCATGACAGCAGAGAGAGCAGAGACCGATCCGAGACAGGTGATGCCTGTGATGTAACTCGGGTCCATCATGTAGGGAATCATCCCACCAACACTGCCGGCCATGAGAGAAGCGTTCAGAGCGTGACGACCGGGGAGCATGAGGGGAGAGCTGTTCAGAACACCTGCATGGAGGGAAAAGAAAGGGGGACATGATGACAGATGGAAAAAATACATGAGGATACTCCCTAAAAACTGCAGATAGAGACATTTATATATCAACAGAGTATAAACACAGCCAGGCTATATAGCTATGCAAATGTAGACATTTTCATTGGATTTATCTTTCAACAGCTGTAACTTGATACTTGTCATTAGCTGAATGCCATGTTCATGCATAATTTGCCCTTTTGAAACTGTTGAAGCCTACATGGCAATTACAGTGTAACTTTCAGGACTAGTGCCAGCACATGAACCCAATGAACTCTCCACCCCCCTCCCACCCCACAGGCTGCAGTTGGTATGAAGCAAGTCTAAAGACCCTTTCTTGTTGACAACTAGAGTACAGCAAAGGTGAAATATCACTGCTCTAGTGTTGATTGACATGACCCTTCTCATTCTTCAGATTATAGGTTGGCTGTTTGTAGTGGACGAAGAATGGTGTAAACAATTGTAAGTTACCCAGTTTATGTTAAAGCTCAAGTGAAAAGACTGTCTTATACTACTGTTATGATGTTATGTTGATTTGTTTTTTAATGGGGGGGGGGGGGGGCAACATTATAAATCTAATTTGAGTGATTTGAAGACTGAACAAAAAATAAAAGCCAAACTAGCTTGTTTTCTCCTTGTGTCAAACTATTCCATTATACATTGAGAGGTTCTGTCCAACATTCACTTTTTTCTGGTGCGAGCAAAATAACATCTATAGAGTGTCAAAAAGCCAATAGGTCACCGTCAAATATAGATGCAGGATGGGTCACCAACCTTTGACATTAAATATGAACTTGTAGGGATCTCATAGCAATCTCACATCCCTTCTGCAATAGACTGGATATTACTGACTCACGTCTCACACACCTGTGTGCGTCATGTGACACCTCCAGCCATAAAAATGGTTTATTGATTCAACCGTCCGTAAACCGGTGATGCTGTGAGCAAAGATGTCAGATAACTGCAGCTGAAGGTACACCTGACTCACGTCTGACCTATGGTGAGTTTGTACTTTTGTCTTTTTTTCCCCCCCATTGATGTCATGATCAAAATCTTCAGAATGCATGACTGTGCTTCTCTCACCTTGCAGTTTGCCGTATGCAATCAAAGAGCCACTGAAAGTGACACCGCCGATGAAGGTGCCGAGGTAGGCGACTATCTTGGTGAGGTTAGCTGCGGGGTCTGTGGCAAAGTGGGGGTATTCGATCATGTATTCAGCTACACAGGTGAGCACGGCAGCCATCCCCACCAGGCTGTGGAAGGCTGCCACAAGCTGGGGCAAGTCAGTGATCTGGATCCTCTTAGCTATGGCCAGGCCTAAATAGAGAGAGAGAGAGAGAAAGATAACAAATAAATAAAGTTCAGGTCACCCTGAAAGACACACACACACACACACACAAATAATATGCAAATTACAAGCATGTGCACACACATTGAAGAGGACTGCTGGGAATTGGGTCGGTGTGAGGAACCAGGTGTTGCTTATGAGGCCTATTCTGGGAAATCCCTTGTTTGTGGTCGGGTCTACACTTCCTGTCCGTCAGTGTGTGTGTGTGTGTGTGTGTGTGTGTGTGTGTGTGTGTGTGTGTGTGTGTTCGTTCCTACAGGAAACCTGGCTGTATCTGGAAAGGAGCGTTATTGTCTGCCCGGACAGTTTAGTCTAGGATTCAGCTTTGTTACTGGAACAATTAGCATTTAAATGATCAAACTGTCCTGAGTGAGCAACACATGATGCTGACCGTCTCATCAGACCACCTGGGTCTGGCGGCGAGTGAGTCATGTTGTGTTTGATGTAAACATCACAGAGTCACTGAGCTCTGCACACCTGCTGCTTGATCTTGCCGAGCTTGGAAAACATGAGGGCATCCAAATGTCCAAAAACTTGCATCTACTGCATCACAATTCTGCAAGTATTTGAATTTTTCTGCTGTCTTCTACGTAGTACATAAATACACATAGACTCACCAGCAGTACCACCAACAGCCATGGCTGCGCTCATCTGCGCCAGGAGTTCAGGACTTGGCTTGAGGGCCCCCAAAGTGGCAATGACACCCCCAGCAACTCCCATCATACCCAAAGCGTTACCCAGACGAGCAGTCTTCTGGTTGGAAAGACCGGCCAGGGCACCGACACAGCACAGACCGGAGCCCAAGTACATCATCTGATTATAGAAAGCGAAAGAATGGGAAACAAGGGGTTATAGACTGGATCGAAGAACCACAGAATGAGAAGCATGGCAGATTGATTTTCTTGGGAGGTCTTTTATAACATCTGGGCAAACAAAGAATACATTTGGATGATGATAAGCTGACTATGATAGCAATAGGCTGCGCTAGGGGATTTGGAAAGCTTTGGTCGGCAACCACAATTTGAATCCTGATCTTAGCATGTGGACACGGCTCAAAACAGCCTCCCTCACCTGTTCAATGTTGTACCCAGAATGCAGGGCGGCGGCGTAACCTCCGACAAAGACCCCACCAGGAAGAAGATAAAGGTAGTTGTGCTCTGGGGGATCGGTGGAACGCTTGAACATGTCCAACATCTTCTTTGTCACAAGGAAACCACCTTTGGGGGAGAGAGAAAATGAATACTGGACCTAAAACAAAACTCAGGTTTAAGCTGCTTTAATGCATGAATGTGGTTTTTAATACTGAGGCAGGTTAAAAGGAAGGGAGTTGAGGCGCCACAAGTCCATGTAAAAGGCTTATTTTAGGCAACAGGTGTTTTTAAGCCAAGTCCAATAACCAACGTTAGGAATTTAATGAGTCTATTTTATCCTAGTGTAAATATTTCAAGAAGAAAACCACAAAAGTGTCGGAGCAGGACCAGACGGTGTCTCACACTTTACAGGAGGAGATAACATTACTGTGTGTGTGTCTTTCCTCCCTCTGGCATGATGTTAGCCACGTGCACATACACACACACACACACAGGGTGTACATATGAGGGTGAATCAGAGGCTAGCACCTGTTTCGCTTCAGTTCATGTAATGCTAGCTGTGGACTCTCCTACTTAAACATGTAACAATAATAATAATCTGACTTCTATTATTGCAGACCAATCTGCGTCGATAAATCAACATGGAGGAATGTTCACATTTAAACAAAGTTGGTGTCCACGTATTGTTTTAAGCTGTTTTCCTTTTCTTTAGTGTGAATGGTTTCTCATGATACTGTATTTAAAAATCTGGCAGGAATGGAGGCTAATCTGCAACACAAAGCTATAGTAAGACTCTACGGTCATGCTAGCACAATGAGGTCGATGCTTAAATCAAAGGGCTAACACGGTTACATTGTCAGTGTTTGAATACTGATGTTGAGTTTATGTTATTCATCTTCATTCAGTATTTTGGGGAAATTAGATTAAACACTGTCATCAATGTTTAACCTACAACGTCCCGGTTAGTCCCGCTCAAATCTTAATAACCTGCTCTATTGTGGTCAAAGACGAAGTCACCGGGGTAAGAATGGGGAATGACATGCGGAAAGAAGCCACAGGTCAGACCCGGGTCGAACACTCTCAAGGACTTAAGCCTCTGCTAGTCTACTGGCGGAGCACAAAGATATCGTTACTGATGTTAATTCATATTTCATGACTTAAGCAGTTCAATTTGTAATGGCTCTCTAGTTAAGTGGCTATTTAGCAAGTGAAAGTCAACACTGCACAATGGACGCCTGGTAGGTAGCAGTATCAATGTTTTAAATGACTTGATTGGTTATAGACTTGGAAGTTCTCGGACTATATGGATGGACAACTATAGGCTTTATGTGCAGATAGAGGGCGCAAACATAAAACCCAAATATGTAAAAACTAATCCCCCATATTAAGAATAGTCACGACATGTGATTTATAAACCAGATGATGTACACTGATGCGGAAAGACAACAGAAACAATCAAACATATGGAGTCTGGTTTAACCTGGTAGCTTGTGAGGTTGTGAGAAACGGAACATTTTGAGCTCAAAATGTTCAGCAGACCCTGGTGTTTTCCATTCGTTCCCACATCTAACGACTGTACGACTTAAAGGGAACAAAAAGCTTCGGCCAGGGACCTGTTCCTCAGCGCAGACACAAAAATGTCAGGGTCTGTTTAATAGGAGCTAAATTTCAATATTGTGATTCTTCCCTTACCATGGAATGTTTTTTTTCCCTGTTCCCAGGGGTTTATGGGTAATGTGGTGAACCACTTAGTGTGGAAACGAAACCAAGACAAACATCAAAAATGATTTTTTTTTTTTTTTTTTAAGGAATTAGGTATGTCAATGAAGGCTGTGGTGTTTCAACATGCTTTTGTTGGGGGTAAAGTTAACGCAGAGCTGAAAAAGACTACCAGGTGGTTTGAGGACTAATGCCACAGAGCCTAGAAAGACCAGGATTAATGTCAAGATTCACAGGCTTTCCTTCAAGTCGAGTCCTTGTGGTATCCTGCATGTCTCTAATTTAAAACTCACAAGAGATGTGGTGCGTTTCTAACAGAGAGGCTGAAATGTTCCAATATGCACGTTAAAACTCAAAATCTCCCCTGGTGTTAAATGTGAGCTAATGGGATAAATTAAAACACATTAATGGCTCAGCCTGGAGGAACACTGTTTTGAAAGTCTATAAGAGAATAATGAGTTTTCTAATGACTCCAGGAACACTCTGTTTGTATAATGGGAATTGTGTGTGTGGTCCAAGCTGGTGGGTAGAAGGGGCAGCTGTAGCACTTGATTTCAAAGGCAAATTTTGGTAAAATCCATTTAAAAAAACACTTCAGCCTAATTTGGTATTTTTTTGGCTGAAGGCTGCTGTGACTGGCAGGGATGGTGGTGAGGTGTCTGATCAGGTGACTCACCGGCAATGTTGACCGAGGAGATGAAGGCAGCCAGCAGAGCCAGAGACTCAGCTGTGGTGTTCGGGGTGTAGCCACCACCCATCAGGGACAGACCACCCACAGCTGTCAGTCCTGCGAAACAACAAGTAACAGTAATTATTAACTATCCCAACCAATTATACAGGACGTTCAAACTTTTGGTGATCACATAAACGATACAAAATCTTTTTTAAAAAGTCATGAAAAAGCTCATTTTGATTCCCCGTTTCAAATGCATAACTACATACATTTTAAAGTCTCTTCTTAAATTCAGAAAACATTGTTTCCTTCCAAGACTGTAAGTAAGATTTTAGGGATAAAATGGAAGCAGAGTGAAAGAGAGAGATTTGGTGTATCAAAAGAGGATCAGGAAACCATAACATCAGCCATGTAATGTCTTACAGCATCCCAGTCACCTTCATTCACACAGAGCTGTGTTCTTGTACAATAAAGGAGAACTAGCAGGTATACAGTTCGGATGTATGCGTGCACATTTATTCCTGAAGGAAAAAGTGTTTTTTTCAAGGAGGCAAAGAACAACCTCGTAACTTTCCTTTTGTTCCCCCCCCCCATTTCTAGAAAATAGCTTCACACAATATTTACTTCACACTGTGTTTAAAATCAAATCCTAGACCTTTCTACATGCTTTAAAAGTATTTCAAAATGTAAAAAAACATCATGGACAAATCCTTGTTAATCCTTTGCCAGTGTCATAAGCATTAGCTGATGTTTCTTTGCAATGACACTCATGTTGGTTTCTGTTTTAGATCGTTTTCTGTGGGAATTTTGCCATTGTTTAACAGTGCAAGTTGAAGTGACTCAGAAAACATGTTGGAGAAAGAGAGAGAGAGAGAGAGAGAGAGAGAGAATGATTTACAGACAACCCAAGCTGCAACAATAAAGGACAAAGCCTTAATGATACAGATACATCAGGTTAGCCTGTTTGTTAGCAATTCAATCTCTATATTCATGATGAAGCCCTGAACTGTTTCTCTCTGTTGGATTTATACTGTTTATATGTCTGAACTAATTCAAATGACTAACTTTACACAGAACCTGTCGTTGCCTTTGGAAAAACTTTTTAAGGGGCTTGTGGATTAGTGTTGTCATGTTTCTGTGTTAGGAGCTGTCGGAATTTATTGCCTCTCTGGTAGCTGCTTGTGTGCTTGCTTCACCTATACTAGGCAACCCTTCATTTCTTTTCTTTTTCTTCCCAAGATTTTTTTTTTTCATGCCTTTATTCAGAGTCAGGAGAGTGGATAGAGTTAGAAATCAAAAGAGAGGGTAAGGAAGGACATGAGGAAAGGAGCCAAAAGTCAGATTCGAACCCGGGCCGTACGCTTTTAAGGACTTCAGCCTCTGTACATGGCGGCATGCGCACTAACCACTTGGCTACCGGCGCCACCCATGCTTTTATTTAATTCACACCTGAATAAACTGTATAGCATCACAATTTCACAAAATGTATTTTGTCCAAACAACAGTTTCAAACGAAAAAAACTCCTCATTTAATGCCTTGAATGTCACAAAAAGCGGACAATACCTTTACTTACGCCAGAAAAATTCAATAAGCCAACATCCGATGGTTTAAATAGTCAGTTAATAATTTGACTGAATAACTGATCACTGAAGCTCGAGCACAGGTTAAAAAAACAACAGATAATTCAATACACATGACTCAGGTCTGATCTGCTTCTTTTTTTTTTACTTAAATATAAATAGACACAGACGTTAAGAGGAGACCTGACAAATCTGGCACACTTTCTTTTCATGAACTAAATGAAAAAGTATGCTGATACACCATGAAGTGGAGATCAAAGGACGCTCACTATCACAGCTAATAGATTATCCAGAAAGAAAGCCAACAGGTGTTAGTGGACACAGACAGACAGACACACGCGCACACGCACACACACACACGCACACACGCACACACACGCACACACACGCACACGACTATTTAGTGGGTGGGCCGGCGTCCTGTAGGTGCGTCTCTGTGACAAACAGTAGTCGCCAGGCTACAGGCAGCGAGCTCTCAGGTAGATTAAAGCATTGCTAATAGACACCAGATATATAAAGACACTTGATATAAGAGCAGCGTCTGAAGAATTGAAAATCTCTCACCAGTCAGAGTCAATGCTCCCTGTAACTTTATAATCTGCTCGTGAAGAATACAACTGACCCTAAATTCCATCATGATTCCCTAATGTCTGTGACTGATTGTGTGCGTGTGTGTGTGTGTGTGTGTCTTTTTACGATACCTGGCGAAACAACAACAGAATTCTGATGCTCTCACTGTTTCCATAGCTGCAGACCGTCATTGACAGATATAAAAAATAAAAAGGTTATAAAGGCTACGCCAGGCATTAAGGGAAAATACCTGGACAGGGAGGAGAGGGACAGACTGAGGAAAGGAGAAACTTTTTCAGGAACAAATTTCTTTTGTGGTTTTTAAATTCTCCTGATAATCCTGTAAACTTCTGCCTTTTTGGACTGATCCTGAATAAGAAGAGATTTAGGAGGAAATGTTCAAATTACCTGAATTCAATAGAAGTATTTGACTCACTGTAACACTGTTATAGTGATTATTTTAAGAAGACACTGTGAAGATGGTAACTTAGAAAGTTTTAAAAGGAAGTTCAAACTTTCTATCTTAACTTATTGAATTGCTGAGCTCGGAAGTCGAGCTCTAAAGTCCGTCTGTGTGCAACACCAAAGGATCAGAGGCCTCCCGTGACCCTCAAAGATCACAGAGGGAGTGTTACTTCCTACCACGGTGAGGGTCTCAAGAGTGATCAAAGCCGTGAGAACACACACATGCACTTACCTCTCTAACCCTTTAACCCCTTTGTGTTAAGCAGCAGCAGACAATGAGGACACAATCTGTAAAGTTTTTATTTGGACTGAGTGCAGAAACAGCGTAGCTGCAGGGAGCTAATCGACCGAGAACATGATCGCTTTGATTCTCTAGCTCACCCTTTATGTTAAGCCTTTTTTTTTTCTTGTTTCTTTTCTATTTGCTACTTGTCTACTTGCTACTGCTGGAAGAGAAAGTTGCTTTCTCCTTATTACAGCTTTGGTCAGAGGTCTTTCTTTCATACGTACACTTAAGTCTGGAATGAGGTCCCACATTAAATCAGGACAACAACAACCTCAGTTCGGCATTTCAAGCAGGCATATAAACACCTCCTGATGAATGGACAAACTTGCAACCATTGATTGAACTAATATGTGTTGATTTCAGTTATTCCCCCGAACCTCTGACAGTCTGTGTTGCCGTGTAGTCGATTGCTGCTTGTGTCATTTGTCTGATGTGATCTTTGTTTTTATATGTGCTGCAGAACAGGAACCTGCTGTAAACCAGTTTGAACTGAGCCAGGCTCGTTTAACTGTTACTCATGTAATGTTACTTTGAGTCGTTCCAGTATAATAAATGAAATATTTCTCCCTTAAGAATATAAACTGTAGTTAGCTGAATGATGAATCATATTTAGGGAGTAACCAATATTAGAAATCTTATCATCTACATCTACTTTTTTTCACACATGTGATGGTCATGGGCGTCAAAGGTCAGTTCATACTGTATGTCCAGAAATGTAAAAAGATCAGATTATAATGAATCCAGATAAATAAAGTAAGCATTAAAGTAAGTGCTGATGTAATTAAATATATACCAACACATTGAATCTTGTAAAATAATGTCATCCTTTGTCTTGATTCAGATCATAGTGTTATTTTTGGGCCTGGGACTAACTGCTATGGTATATTTGTTTGCATTTTTATAAAATACTTTTTTTTCCTTTCCTTTTTTTAACCATTTTACTCAAAGGGCGAATGTAACAGCATTCTTACGCACTGGGAAAAAAAGATGACTTCACTAACTGGAAGTCAGTCTCTGTGTAAGACACACTGAACACAACCAACCTGAGATGGCGTTGGTGACGGACATAAGAGGAGAGTGCAGAGCGGGAGTGACTCCCCACACGGTGTGGTATCCCACGATGCCGGCCAGACCGAAGGTTGTGACGATCTGAGTGAAGGCGGCGTTGGGAGCCGACAGACCCAGACTCAGCAGGGTGGCAGCGCCTGGAGCACACAAAGTTAAAAAAAACAAAAAAACAAAAACATTAATATAAAAGAGTGAGGAGAGGGGCTTGGATTACAACTAGAGATGGCTTTAGACCATCAAGGGACATTTCGGATTGAGTCATCACCACAGAATCGAGAAGATATCATTCATAGAATAGAATAGAATTACTTTATTGATCCCAAACTGGGAAATTGTGGCGTTACAGCAGCAGGTTGTCCAAACACACAATGAGTAAAAAAAACACAATGTTAGCAAATCTAAACACAATATAATATTAACTACAAAGTAAATAAGCTCTAAAAATATCAAAACTAAGAATGTGAATATATACAACCAGGATTTCACTAAGCATTACTAGTCTTAAATAGGAAGATTAAATATGAAAGATTAAATGTAAATGTGCAAAAACATAGTAGTAAATGGACAGTATTGACACAAGTTGAAGTGCATGAGTGTAGACATATAATAAGCAGAAACTATACAATATAACGGCGAGTAGACAGCCAAATGAAGTGAACTAAGTGAATTAAGTGTAAATTAAAGTAACAGATTATATTATATAAGCGAAATTGCTCTGAGTATTTTAACTTTTTTTTCCCCACATAAGAAAAGAAAAGGAGGCGAGTCGGGCAAAATGTTTGATCCACTTTCCAATCCAGTTATCTAGATAGCAGTTTAAACAGTATACTTAAAGTGTGGATTCATTAAATCCCTCCAAGCTTGTTGCTCTTTTGGCTAGCTGTGAGATGTGGTAGGTCATTGGCCACCCATGTGTCCTAACTTCCTGCTACTTCAACAGACAGGTGAACTGTTCAGTCAGAGAGCTGTTGGTTAACTTTGCAGGTGTGGTAACATTTGGCAAACTCTCTCTCTCTTTCAGATGAGCTCACAAAGCTGTGATAACCTAAGTAAGCATGAAAACGTCTACTTTATGTTCCACACTAATAATCAGCATGTCACCAGCATAAAGCAGCGTCTCACTCTTTAATGAAAAGAGTGGCTCAAATCAGCAGCTGTGTGGTGGTGTTAAGTAGGAAACTACTCCAGCCCCTAAACAATGTGTGAAACCACATTAACTGCATGAGGTGCACCTACACTGGGTGCTGTGTGACACCATGGGAAACACTCGCTCTAAGCGATACTTCAAACACACTCTCAGCGGGACGCTATTTTTACAATGCACACTTCCTGACACTAACAGGGTGTCTGTGTGTGTGTCACTTCACGCCTCCTGTGCACATTCCAGCGGTGACCTTTAAGGCGGATTATTAACCCTCCCTTCACCTCAGGGCAGACCTCGACCAGCCTTCAGACCCCTTATGGGCGATCGAAAAAGAGTAAATGTTGGAAATGATCGCATTTTGAGGTATAGCATCGTTCAGATTTCTCTTCTTAGCTAGAAGATCACAATTTAACATCCACTGACCTCCTGTGTAAATGCCAGCGGTGGTAAGTGTGGCCTTAAAGGGGGAGACTTGTGCAGCCTTCTCCTTCTCCAGCTCCTGGATGCTCTTGGGTTTAGGAGGAGCTACGACTGGCACGTTGTTGGGCTGAGGAGCGGGGAACAGATTCTTTCCATTCTGTAGACGACAGAGAATAATATCGCAGAAAAAGACAATCAGAGAGTTGAATCAATCTTTCCTAACAGCTGTATTCATTACACAACTTGTAGTTATCTACACTTTCCAGGAAAGGAACAACAGCAAAAAACATAGTGGAAATGAGAGTAATTGTGAAATTTAACAATATCAAATGACAGTTGTTAAGAGCTGATTTGATGTCTGCTTTATTCTCTGATCTTATTACCTGCTGCTGCACAATGAACTCTGTTACCTTGCTAAATATGTGAAACATTAGACCCTGATGTCAAGATGAAAGTAAGCAAACTAATGACCAGCAGGTACAGTAAGAAGTATCTGCATTTCAGCATCATTTATAAGTCTAACAAGATAAAAGTAATGGTTTAGGCTTCGTATCGATATCAATCTTATTGGTTCACCTTACTAAGAAACACATGGAGGACGAATGATTAAAGCCAAATCTACAGTGGCTCGCTGCAGTGTGAAACTTTTACAGTCAGTACTTAATATAATGTTTGTTAACATGAATACATGAAAGGAAAACAAATATTTCTATTAGTGTTCCTACAATTTAGTAGTTGTAAAGCCTTTTGCGACGCTGTTTCTAAATTCGAAAGAGCCTTTTCGATGCCAAACATGAGAAACATATGCTAAATATTGGCACAAATGCAGTTGCTTAAGGCAAAGGGAACAGAAAGGAGCTGGACTGGCAGCTGTCTCCTGGTTGCACTGTGTTATTTCTCAGACAACATCAAACTCCTTATTTTAACAATGTTCACCCGTACATGTGTGTGTGTGTGTGAGTGTGTGACCACTAGTAGCCACCTTAGCTGGTCAAAGCTTTGCCTTTTTTAAGGCTCTTCCAGAATTAAAATAATCTCTCTTTTACAAAAGTACAAACCTCAAATGAGTCGAAAACCAACACACGTTCAAAAACATTTCTATTTTTCTGTTCACTTGTTTTACATTTGGATAAACCACTGAAGAAAAGCTTTATTAATCATGAAACTATGCAAGCATTACTAACTGAGAATATTTGATAAATAATTCAAGAAAGAGACAAAAAGTCAGCACACAAATGTCCTTTAGGTTTCTTTTATCCGGGTAAGGCGGCAGCAACAACAACAGCAACGGACGCAAAGGACGGAAGGCCGAGCGCCGAAACGCGTCCGTTGCTGTTGTTGTTGCTGCCTTACCCGGATAAAAGAAACCTAAAGGACATTTGTGTGCTGACTTTTTGTCTCTTTCTAGTCTTGTTGCGGTTGTGCACCTTTTACTGTGTTTAACTGTCGAGAGTGCTCCTCGTTTGTTGTTTTTATAAATCCTTTAAGGGCTACAACTATTAATACCAGAACATCTAAAATCATTATTATAAATATGAAAGTAAATCTTTCAGCTACTCAACTTCAACCTCTATAATAAATACAATCAGTCCTCCACCTTTCATCATCATTACAGTTAGTAATGTTTATATTAGATTGATCAGTCTATTAACACTGTTAGCTGTTACTGCTAATACTACACATACTTTATCATGATTACTGCCATTGTAGCTATTAATCTACTGTATTCAATGCTGCAGTTGTTGCTCTGTTTGTCTCGATCCGTCTCTCTCTCTTTCTGCATCTCCCTCTTTCAGATTGACACAACATGAGTCTGTTTTTTTCTGGTTCTGTCTTGGTTTTTTCTTGCCACTTTCTTAGTGCTCATTGTGAATTCATGTTGTGAGTTTGTAAAAAAAATATAACAAAGAGTAAGGTCTTTTACCTGCTCTTTTGGAAAGAGTCTTGAGATAACATTGGGTATAAATTGGCGCTATACAAATAAAGAGCGATTGATTGACCGGTCACGTTGTTTTTTTACTCCTTCATTTGATTTACAGGAACATTTATGTCCCGTTATACAGAAGGAACAAGGAACAAGGAACAGATTCCTTTCTGAACAATTAGTGAGTGGTAGCTTGTAGAGCATAATACACACTATGGAATTTAGTATAAGAATTATTATTATTACTAGAATTGTTACGTTGATGCGTTTTAACACTGTTAATACTTAAACATGGATGATGATGTTTTGTGGTTAATGAGAAGATATTCAACACAAACTATAAAGATGTTTTTAAAGGAGGCCAAGAAGAAGAAAAGTGGCATAAGGGTGACATCTAGTGACCATGAATGGACCTGCAGTCATTTTCTAAATGTTCCTAAGGATCCTCAGTTTTTCTGTGTATTAACAGAGATATTTAGTGCATAGACATGCATATTTGCTAGGCTGCTGCCCACATGACACATCATACCTGCATGACAACAGACCCTCTGACCACGTGATCCATGGTGCCGTAGTCAAACACTTCCTTCACGTCGAGGAAAAAGTTATCGTTGTTGGGGCTGAGGGCTCGCATCAACTTAGTGATGTTGTTGGAGTACAGAGTGCTGGACTGAGTCGGCAAACGGCTGGGCAGGTCTGTGTAGCCGATGTGGGTCACTCCCTTTAAGACATATGGACAGAAACACAAGTTTGAAAGGACAGAAGAGATGAAAGACACTCATAAAGACAATCAACATAACAGTTTTGTGTTTGTAATGTTTGCTCTGACCTTGTATACTGACAGCTCTCCAGGTACTGTGGTCTCAATGTTTCCTCCAGCCTCAGCAGCCAAGTCCACCACCACAGACCCATCTTTCATGCTCTCCACCATGGGCGTGGTGATCAGGATGGGCGCCCTCCTACCTGTAATGGTACAACGGAAATGTAAACTTCACAGATGCAATGGGTTCAGGGCCATTAAAAGTAGAGTAAATCTTTCAAAAGCAGGATAATGGACAAAAATGTTGGACAAATATTCTTCGAAATCTTCTTGTGGAAAACTTCAATATCCCATTATTTGTCCTTGTTGTTTATACTGTTAGGAAACAGTAAGGTTCTTCTTCTTCTGTCTGTTTTGTAAATTACTTTGGACTGGTTTTCATGCGGAGAATAGAGAATGGGTTTAAGCTGTGTTTACTGGATTGTCCGATAGTCTTGAACGCACCATTCCTGAGGTGCGCACAGAGCATAGGCACAGAGCGGTGCCGTGTTGCTTTAAATGACGTAGGACTCAGGTGAATTGGCAGCTGACAGAGGACCCGTATGGACACCGACTTGGAAGCTGTCGGACTTGACAGCTGACTCACTCCCGTGAACCTGTTATTGAAACCAGCCGTGTCTTCTGTGATCCAACTACAACAAACAAAACTGAACTCATAGTCGAAGCTTGGCTTGTCGCTCATCACAAAGCCGTCCGGTGCGATCAGGTATGCGTATAGGTGAGCTGACCTAATCTTACGTTTTCCTGTCTTGAGAACCAGTCCTTTCAGTCCCGTCATCTCTTGACTGCTGTGTCACACTTTAGGTTAGGGCTAGTGATTTGTTGTATTTATATGTGTAGCTGGTGCTGGCTCATAGCAATACTACCTGCCCTGAATACTTCCATCTTAAATCTATGTACTGTATACATTGTGCATGAGTCTGTGCTTCTGTGCATACCAGGGATAAGAGCAGTGCTGATAACGATGTCCACTTCCCGACACTGTCTGGCAAACAGCTTCATTTCTTCTTCTATGAATTCCTTTGACATTTCCTTGGCGTAGCCTCCCTGGCCCTCTCCTGACTCCTTCATTTCCACCTCCAGCGGCTCTGCACCCAGAGATTTGAACTGCTCCAAAGCTGCAGCTCTGCAGGAGAGAGAAGAGGTGACTCATGAATCATAACATGTCCCTGTTAGAACAGGTTGCTACAGGGAACACATGCTGCATGGTATTTATACATTTTACATTCGAGTGTCATTTTTGATTTTCTTTCAAACTGATGCAAAGCATAAAACTGTACCGTACAGTTGCAAATCTTTATTTTTTTTTTTATATACTTTATTAATCCCTGAGGGAAATTCTGTTCCTGAGAGACTTGCTTCTCACACACATCGGCCCAAAATACACACACATGCACAAACAAGGACCTGTGGATGTGCACTAATGGAGAGATGTCAGAGTGAGGCTGCTACACAGGGAGCGTGCCAGAGCTGTTGCTCAGTGCCTTGCTCAAGGGTATCTCGGCGGAACTCGGGAAGTGACCTGGCACCTCTACAGCTACCAGACCAACTTCCATATTTTGGTCTGCACCGGGACTTAAACCAGCGACGCTGCGGTTCACAACCCTACAGACTGAGATAATGCTGCCACCAGAAAACATAACTTTCATAACTAAAAGCTAAAAGTAAAAGAACAGTAATAAGACATTAAAGCACTCTAAGTACATTAAATCAGGTTTTTTCTATCTCCTAAAATGCAAGGATGTAATCCAGATCATTTAAATCTTATTCATAACAGCTTCAGGGTTCACTGCTTACTTTACTTTCACCATATTTAGCTCCTGCTGAACTGAAATGTTCTACTGCTGCATTCCATCAAACAGTTGAAAACATGCGACGCCTTTTATTTCAAGAAGTCACAGAGTTGTTGTGTGTTTACACTGTTGTAAATGTTTTATAGCACTTTAATAGAAATATACAAACAAAGAAAAGAAGTCTTAATCCCTTCACATTAAAAGTCTACTGAGTGGCAAGACCACGTTTTAACTGTCATTTTATTGAACTGTTTATACTTAGTGTTACTTTATAGTAGCAATCAAAATGATTCAAACTCCATTGCAAACGAGGTTCATGGGCAACATTAATGTTCAGCTGTTTATAATAAACAAATCAAACAAGAACAATTCAAAAAGCTCAACACAACTGAAATTCTGTTTGTTGGAAGAAGCCGTGATTCAGTCTGTAAAGGGCAGTATATGCATATTTCTAACATGTATGTAGGATTTAAATACTTTGTACTTCAATGTTTGGACCGGAATTGATCAACAACACTAGTTAATACAGATGTTTTCAGCTGGAAAAATGTCTGGGGGTTTAATTACTATTTAAAAATAGCCTTTTGTGTTGAATTTGGAGAAACCACTAGTAAATATTACATTTTATTCTCAAACTGTTTATAAAGATTAAAGCCACTGGGGGAAATCAGATTTATCTCATTGTCTAACAACTGTTTTTCTTCATCCTCTTATAAATAAATGCACCTTTATGACAAATTTTATTCAGCACTTTTATTTTAATGCAATCTTTCGGCCTGAATGTATTTCATAGAGTATCATAATAAACACAAACCTGGTATCAAATCCTCTGACAATGGCTCCCATGGCTCTGGCAGAACCAGCTGCTGCCAATCCAGCCACACCTCCTCCAATGATCAGAACCTAATCACATAAACAACAATGAAAAGGAATGTGGAATTACCAAAAGAGATATTTTGCATTGAACAATTTGTGCTGAAGACATCACTTTTGTTGACACACACACACACACACACACACACACACACACACACACACACACACACACACACACACACACACACACACACACACACACACACACACACACACACCACACACACACACACACACACACACACACACACACACACACACACACACACACACACACACACACACACACACACACACACACACACCACACCTTTGCAGGTGGTACTTTCCCTGCTGCTGTGATCTGTCCGGTGAAAAAGCGACCAAAGTTGTTAGCCGCCAACACAACAGCCTTGTAGCTGAAATGACAGAGACACATAACAGGAAATTAAAAATCATTGATAAGAATACATTTCAACACACATTATCTTGTTATGATTGAACACAAATGGAAAATTCATTATCGCCTCTTTTCTTTTCATGGTTTGAGATCTGAGCTATGTTTCTATCCAACTCTCATAAATGGATCACGTAAGAAGAAACAACGGAGTGTACATACCCAGCGATGTTTGCCATTGAGCTCAGAGCGTCGAAACCCTGGGCGATAGTGACTCGGGGCACCTGGTCCATAGCCACGACGGTGGCCTTCTTCTGGGACAGCAAGTCCATCAGCTCGGGGTTCTGAGCTGGGTAGATGAAGCTGAACAAAGTGGCGGCGTCCTTCATCAACTCCACCTCGTGGACCCCCAGATCAGGGTTGAAAATGGGAGCACGGACCTGAGAGAAGGAAAATTGGGTAAGGAAAAAAATTACAAGGAGCCAGCCAATAAAAGGAAAACTAAATATCATCTTAATGCTGTGGCCTAAAGGTATTCAGCTCTAATAAATCTCTTCAATCTGGGACTAAGAGAGTGAGAAAAAACATTCAGTACTTTTCCTCTATCTGACAATCATTTGTTTTAATTTTGAGTCATATTCAGACTCTCCATTCCTTCTGCACAAAGCAAGGAGAGGTGGGGATAAAACACTTTTTATTAAGCACACTATCCTTCTACGACGTATGGCAATATTACATCGATATATACAGGCACCAGAAAACGACTGCACTAATAATTCTCATAAAATGATTCTTTTTCATGCTATAATAAATAAAAACTTGAGCATAATTTTTTTTTTTAGTCCACTGGGTTTCTGATGTGGAAAAGAGGAAATCATTATTTAGAATTTGATTCAGCAGTAGTCTTGGTGTCTGAGAGGAGTAGTGTGCATACAGGTCTACTTTAGTTGCTAAAACAGTCCATGTGGACAGAAAAACGCAGGAAAACACGTAAGGCAATCTTAACATCGTTCAAAATTACGAGATTCATCGAACCCCCTTATTTCCTGCTTCTCAATGGCCTTGATGAACCTCTAGAGAATTATCTTCTGAATTCCCCACAACCTTTACTTTTCCCACTGTACCTTGACCAGCACATCTGATGCCAGGACATCTTTAATGTCCTTGATTGTTGCTCCAGCCTGGGTGTACTGTTCATCAGGGAACTTTGAAGGCTCTCCAGCTCCCGACTCCACCACAACATTGAAGCCCTGCTTGATGAGCGCCTGGACTCCAGCGGGGGAAATCGCAACACGGCGTTCATTCTGGAAAATTTCTTTGGGTACCCGACTGTGAGTTGTTTGTATGGAATACCTGCAGAGAGGAAGAGAAAGAATACACAACAGATTAATTATTGCCCTTCTATTCGTTCATTCATTGAAGTTTCAAAGTTAAATGTATGAAAATGAATTCATGACAGACTCGTGACCAGCTGAGGTTATTTCAGCTCATAAAGAACAATAAGAAAACAAGACACAGATAGCCTGACAGCTGTGTGGTTGATTGAATGGAACATTACAACTATTTTAGCTTTCTTTTTTAAAGCTGGATCACACAGTTAAGGATAGACAACGTCATTTAGGATGGGTTTTTTATAAGATCAAATCAGCACAGTACAATACTGTTCCATGCAGACACCCTTTCATTTTCAAGGAGATGACCGTGAGCTTTCTTTAAACTGTGTTTACTATAAATATTGTTCTGTACATAGAATGGCCTTTATGCAGACTGAAGAGGTCATGACCCTTTAAGAGCAAAAACAATCTCCAGCCGTGTTAGAGGCTCAGTTGAGACTATAGTTTGGTATAGTTTTATTACTAGTACTCATAGACAAGCTGCTGCGTCGTGAACGTAAATGTTCATATATTTGCCTCTGTAGAACGTGTGTTACAGGAGGATTTCTCTCGAAGAAGCACCACATAAATCCAACGTCAAATCCAGAAGTAGAGATGAGCTGTCGCAAGCTGTTTTAGCGTGTATGTTTGTTGCTATGCGACAGCTATTACATATCATAGTGCGGGTAGTTGCAGACTGGAGCTTTTAACATTTCTTCATAACTTTCCGCCATTGTTGTAGTGACTCACTGGTTTCTCCGATGTTGTAATTTCCGGTCTCATCACCATACAACTCTACACTGCCTCTAGCAGTGATTTTCATATTGCATATTTCTCACCCCCTGCATGGAACTGTAACAGTTCTGGGCAGCTCCTTCAGCGGCAGGCTTCGCCACCAGAAGGAGAAGGAGAGATACCGCAGGTCCTTCTTTCCTGCTGCAGTCAGACTGTTTAACCAAGCCTGCTCCCAGTAGATCACAAAACACACAGAACTGGACAATTCACTCTGACTCTGTGCAATAATAATGTTATATTAATGTTATATTATGTTTACCAATCCACTTTGTGCAATAACATGTTACACTTTATGTGCATGTCTGTGTTACACTGAATATTACAGACTACACGTTTGTCAAATAGCTGATCTATCTATTTTTTAGTATCTATTTTTTTTGTACATTCTTAATTTTTATTTAAATTGTACTGTGTTTACTTTCTGTTTGCAATCTTTGCACTTTGCTGCTGTAACACTGTAAATTTCCCCATTGTGCGATAAATAAAGGATCATCTTATCTTATCTTATCTTATCTTGCAGACGCGTGTGTTTATTTCTGAGGATGTGCACAATCAAAGCTCCAAACCACAGCAGGATATGAAAGGCTGATGTCATGCATTCGGGTGAACGTAGTTAAAAGCAAGTATACTTAGGCCTTAAAGTTTCACAGCTAACCTGGCACAAGCATAAACACAGCCTGCAACAAAACATTGTAATGTAGTCTCAAACAAGTCTAAGAAATCAGACGGTAAGATACAAAGTGTTGTTTTCAAAGAAGAAAGTGAGAACAAAGAGGAACGCTTGTAATGTGAGTGTATGTATAGTTGTTGCAGTTGAAAAAGAAAGAAAAACAGACTCAAGCTAATAAAAAAAAATAGTATGAGTATGACTAAAGCATGGATATATTATTTTTAGCCAGTTTGTTCAGCCTGGGTTTTTAGCACTCTTCTTCAGGTCTGTGTCCGAGCAGCAGGCGGGTCACATGTTGAGTCGGCTCTTATGGAAAATTCCACTGCAGCTCTTTCTCTGACAGGCTGCTTCTCCTCGCACCCTGTGACCCATCTAACAGTTTTATTTCTATGAAGGACTCAATATCATAAAATCAAAGCTCAGAGTCCCAACATTCCACTGTAAGTTAATTATCTCTTATTCATTTGTGCCAACACATTTAGCACTCAGGTCCCAATCAGCTTAATAGATCAGTCAGGCTGCAGTCTGTTCTATGGGTATCATATTACAGAGCAGAGAAAGTATAGCAAGCGCAGACGACCAACCACCTTAATCCTAAAAATACAAATGAAGCAGTGACTAGGCTGATCCTGCTTATCTGAAAATGTCACTGAAGAGATAACAACGGGACAAGCGCATACATCTCAACATCTAGAGTCAAGATGGTGAATGTTAACTTTGGTTTGCAGAAGACAACTTTCAAGGCTTCGTGTGAACCGTTCAATTTCATTCATTTAATTTGTCATCTAGAGAGATTTAGATCAGCTGCGATTTGCTGCTAGTCCACACCAAACCCTGAGATAAGAATCCATTAATGTTCACCAATGGACTCACACTCCTTTCTACTGTCCAGGCATTCCAAGTCACAATATGAGCACATTTGATCATTTAAATGTGTTTCCATTTGGTTTCCTGGTTAAATGTCAAGTTTCCCTGAAAGGTTGTTTTGGGCGATGAGCTTTGAGGATTGTTCTCTTGTGTAGATGGCTTGTCAGAGGTTTTACACAATCAGCAATCATTTACATAAAAACCCTGCAATATTCAAAGAGCGAGAGTGTGAAAGGCTCCTTATCAATAAACATTTTGTTTTGCTTGTTGACTCTTGAGCATGCCTACAAAGACACCCGTAAATATGGGGGAAAACTGCTGTTTCATATGATACCATGGCTGACGGACACTGCTAGCATGCAAACATGGATGTAAACAACGTTCGATTTAAATGATGTTCACATTTGATGATGCAGGAAATGCATAATTTTACGTCTTCAAAGACATTCAACAAACAAACATACACGCCTTTACACCGAAGCTCAAAGCATGAGAATGCCAAACATAGTCAGTTCATGAAGGAGGGAGTCATTCTGTCCATGTTATCGTTCACAGATCCAGTCTCTAAACTTCAACCGTCTATACTGTCCCTCTATAGGTCCCAACATAACTCTTCCTCTCCTCTACTTGTCTGTGACCCTGTCAGCTGTTACTTGTGTGTCCAGAATAGACGCTGCCAGCTGTTTCTGGAGCGAACTGAACTGCACCGCACCGTGAACCAGGTCACACAGACCCCTTAAACACCCGCCTACACATACACACAGAGAGGCTGCAGCACAACTCAGAACAGAGCACACCGTGACGTGAGGCACCTGCATCCAGCTGGTACTGGCTTTTACAGTACACTCACACAACAAACACACACACACACACACACTTTCTGCCTGCTTAGTGGACACAGAGTTCGAGAACGGAAAACAGAGAACACTTTCTGAGGGCAGCAGCAGACGACCTTGAGACCGAGTGTAGCCGCAGGGAGCAGCACTGACACTCAATACAAACTTTGAATTACTTCTTTATTTAGCTATATTTTGGCGAAACATAGGATTATCCCTTTTTGTAAGAATAACCTTAAAATGACCTTAAAAAGTGACTAAAGATGCACCAAAATGAATGAATGTATCTGAACCCTCATGACAACATAAACCGTATCCAAAAGACAGATATGTCTCACCAGTTCCCACGGCTAACCCCAAGGACAGCAGTATGAATAAAATACCGGTTTATCCTCTCTAATAGCACTGCTATTCTGAAAACCTCTGCTGGGAGTTTCTAAGTAATGGGTATGTTGCCACCTGTCACAGCGCACCTGATACACATGCACATGAGAAGGCAAACAGAGCCTACAGGTGGTGCTGCTTTCATGTTGCTATCAGTGGTGAAACCTGAACAAAAAAAAAAAAGCACTTTCCAAATCATTTTAACTCGTTTAAAAAATATTTTTTTCATAATTATTTTTATGTTATTTTACAGGGATAGTGCATTTAAATAAACATTTCTGCAAAAATGCAAGAGTTAACCAAAATGCTAGTTTCCATCGGTAGTTCCTAAAGAGAATCGAATGAGTTAAATAATCAGTTTATTATTTTGGCTCTATGTTTGATCTTTCCTGTTCAGGTCACACGTGAATCGGTTGACTAAGGAGCGCAATATAAACGACAGCAGCTCGTAAGTGGAACTGACACTTGTCAGTCTGGTTTGATCGAGCTTTCACCGCATCGACACAGAGGCTCTTTTTCTCTGAGGTCATGCTGCTCAAGAAGGGAGTTTTCCATCCTGTTACAATAACGTGCTGTTGTATTTCAGGTTTGCCAATTACTAAGAAGAAGTCCGGCATTATTTGATCATATCAACACTTCTTAAATGATATGCAACTGAGAAGGAAAATGAAAAGGAGAAAAATAGGTCAAAAAACATAATTTAAACATAATTGCTGAGAAATCAACAGCTAAGTCATAACAGCTAACATTAGCGTTTAACCTTTCAACCTAATCCTTGCTAACATACTATAAATGTAAGCTAGGAATGAATACATTTGCTAACATTACCATTGGCTAGCCAAGATTACCTTTTCGCCAATAATGTAAGCCTATCCTATCGTATCATGTACTATCACGCAGCAATGTTAGCCAGGAAGTATTTTAACACTTATGTCAGCTGTTTTTTTTTACATAAGTCAATGAAGTGTCAGATATTTTGTTTTATTTCAAAATATAACCGCACATTACAGCAGAATGCAAAGTGTGATCAGAGAAGAGTAGGCGACTGGTGAAAATGTTAGAACAGTTGAGAAACGTTGAAATGTCCTTGTAACACACTGGTACCATAACAACCTCTGTGCCGTCTATGCTGCACCCATCCCAAGAAAGTCCTTAGAGGTGTTCTGTCACGGTGCAGTTTGAAGATCATGTGACCTCAGTGGAAGTCCTTCATTACATTCAAACCTTTCGGTCATACTATATTGTTACATCATTGTGTTGGTTTTTGCCTCCCTCAGAGGAGAACGACTCAGCAGTCACATAAAGTTTGCACTGTAATGATGTTCATCTGTTGCCCGTGCTCAAACCAGATTTAAATGTCCGTGTCTTACCTGGACTAGCACATCGTCCCAGAGCTTGATGGGTCCTGAAGAAGCGAATGCATGATGTTTTGACTGAACGGCCGCTCTGCAGCTTCACGCAGGAGGCTGCGCTGAACACCGGGGACGAGCAGCTAGCTGCCACAACACGGAGGAGACTCGCCATGGTGCACACACACCCGACACTCTCACGCCAGGAGGAGCTCGACAGGACAGAGAACACCCCTCCTGAGGGAGAGGCGGGAGAGGAGGGAGAGAATACAGAGAGAGAGAAGAGAGAGGGGGGTTATGGGCAAAGAAGAACAGAGCACAAAGTTGTCCAAACCACAGAACAAAAAAAAAGAAGATATCTCTGCCTTAAAGAAAAGCATCCAGACATGTACACAACACACGTTGCCAACAACACACAGTATGCTATATCAAGTTTCTTTGACTTGTTATTACAAGAATTCATTTAGATGTTTTCCTCTTCAATGTATCTAATAGGATCCATTCATTATTTTTTGCTCTTTTTTCTTGGCTACCCTTCTCTACTGACTCACTTTAAAGATTTTCATATGTTTTGTAATGTTTGCCCTTAATGTTACTAGTTAACGATTGTGTCACGTAATGTCACCAATAAAGGAAAAAGGAAGAATATCAAGGGATTTAAAAGTATTGAAATATTAAGAGGGAGTTAAGATTGTTAATATGTCAAAAAAATACTTATCAGCTTTGAATTATACTTGAATGACATGAACGAACCTGTCCTTCACTGTTCCTTTATAGAGCACTCAGCACTCACACACTCACATATGTATGACCTCTGTTTATACAACAGGTCACCTTCTCTGAGAAAAACATCCCGACATTTATTTGTACCAAAATACTACACATGCTTTAGCTGTCAGAGGTCCACTTCATCTATCCTGAAAACATGTTTACTTAAAAGAGATAAAGAAACTGGGACAGGCTGGGGTAGCAAGACTGGTGTGGTAGGGTTTAAACTAGAAATCTCTGGCAGTAAAATACAATCTGATAATCTGTACACACACAGAGGCAGTTTCATCCCACTAACTAATAATCACTAAACTTCCCTGCAACCCATTTATGACGAAACAAGAGCTGAAATGATGAGCCAATTAATTTCTGAGCAAATTACTAAAAAAAAATGTGATGATTATTTTGATTATCAATTAATCAGGAAAGTCCTCAGATAGATACAGATACAACATATCTCAGTTTTAATGGGAATCTCAGGACTGATATGTGGGAAACTGGGAATATTTTTGTTTTTTCACTATTCACCCACATTTTAAGACTTAACAAATACATAGAAAATAAAAAATAGTCCAGTTCACTATTAATGTCCATAGTGTTGAGTTGCGATCACTATAAATGAACTGTTGCCCCTTCCTGTTACATCTTGTGCAGTTACACCATTTATGTTGAGCTGACCTCTGTGCAGACTTTAACATAGTACAGAAAAAGCATCGACATACAGTATATTGTTGCATCTAAACAACGACAACAATCTGAGTACAAAACATCAGTACACAGAAACAAAGAGAAGGTCAGGTGTGTAAGCATTCAGTAGGTTAACAATGTATTATGTTATGTCAGTAATAGCTTTGATTTGTGAATTCAGCAATTATTAGATTGACAGAAAATTGTTAAATAGGACGTGACCAAGCTGACGTGCATTATAAATTACAATAGTCCAATTATAAGAAACCCTGTTTACATTAGAAGAGCTAAAAACTAAGAATAGCTTCTTTTATTTTTATTCCCATTTTCTAATTATAGTTTTATTTTCTGTTGACCGACACAAACTAAGAGACAGACTTTTGACACCGTTACAATCTGTGATCTAAACAGTGATTATCTCTGCAGCCTCGCAGTGGTGAGTTCAAGTCTCTTTCAGAAAAACTGAAACTACCACGTCACCAAAAAAAAAAAAAGAGTGGCGGTCTCAAAAAAAAAAAAAAAAAATGATTCAGTCTACATTTTGCTAACAACATAATTTTAAAACATGTAAAAACTAACTCTTATAATGCGCGTTTGTTGCTTGGTCCTGGATGTCCCAGACTAAACGGGTCAGGATTTGAAGGTCCCTCATAAACCTCTGACTGGCGGGTTTGTTATGACCCAATAAAACAACAACATATGAATCAATGACTTCCTTAGGGCGGCTTTATTTTCACTTGTGTCATCCAACGAAACCGACGCATAAATCCTTAAGGATTATGCTTGTTTTAATTCAGCTAGTGCTCAGCGTAGCTCCTCTTAAGGTCTGACACCAATGAGACTAATAACAAAGCGGGCAACACTTGTCTTGTTTCTGTCTCTGCTCCCTGCACAAACTAGCGGGGCTGAAGCTACAAAGAGCTAAGCGCTCAGCGTGCTAGCGGGTGAAATATACACATCTGCTTTTGGTGCATGTTTTAGTGCATGCAGGCTTATGATTCAGAAAAGCACGCAGCACAAGCGTTTCACTGCAAAACCAAACAATTGCACATTGAAAAAGTGAGAGTAGAAGGGTAAGCGGCAGGTAACTCGACTGACCTTTGCAAATGGTCCTGGCTCTACAGTGCAGCGCAGGCGAACTGTCGGGTTAACCCGGAAGGTGTCGGGAGAAACCGCCGGCACAGGAATATTTAGATCATATGACACGCAGGCTGTCCGACGTCTTCTGATCAGCTGTCATCAAAAGTGTTTTATATGTTTGTGACAGTTGCCACAACTTTGAATAAACTGACCATGGCATTAATGTCCATATTTTGTTATATTGACATGTTTTGCAAAGTTAAGGCTGAATTTAAGAACATGTAGGCCTGTATAAAGAATACTTTATTTTATTTTATTTGAAGCATTGCTTGCACAGGAACACTTTTCTGTGAATACAAACCAAAACTACAAAACATTAATGTGCAATGAAAATGACAGATTGATAAGTGTACGTTTACGTGTCTACTATAATTTTGGAAATGGCGTCTCAAAACTGAGGATGAACAGAAGATGCAACTCTGTATATTTCCACTGAGGGACGCTGTTAAACCATCTTTATATCAGAGTCAGAATCGGGTGTTATTGCCAAGTACAGTACATTTACACATGCAAGGAATTTGTCTTGGTGTATTGGTTTGAAACAGTTAACAAAGGAAATAAAGCAAAACATAGCAAGAGCTCAAATAATAAAATATTAGAAGCAATTACACATCTCTAAAATATAGCCTAATTTAAAAATGCAAAGTGTAAAAAACACAAAATGATAAAATGTCTGTCTGTCTGTCATTTAAACCAAGGTTTTTTCAGAAAAGACACTTCCCCTCTGCCATGATAATAATAATGTTAAACTTCCTTCCTGAGCTCTCGATGTGGAATAGGCTCTTTTTTGTACCGGGCCTGTTGAAGGTCTAGCACTGAAACAATGCCAATAAATGTTTGTTTGCAAGTTAGACAGTGTGCGGGAGTTTACCTTAAAGTTTTTGATGGACACATTGCTCTCCTTACGCACCTGTCTTATGAAATGGATGTTGTATAGTGACAACTGTTACATTTGTAAATATATAATTTAAATTAAATATGTGAAATATTAAATACCTTATTTTGTATTTAATTTTCTTTACCAAAATTGTTCACTAGTAAACACTTTATTGTTTGTGCTAATACTACCTGTAGTTTTTGAATTAGTCTAACGTTTGATTTCTTCTGTTAAAATATATACATATAAAGATTTCCACTTGCAACAGCGTCCCCACCATGGTTCCCCCGTAAAACAGCTGTTACTCATTTTGAGTCCATGACCTGACCTATCATACACCTATACTGTATATAGGATCCAGTGTTTCCAGATATTGAATCATTTGGATGGGGGAGTGAGGTCAGTGGTAGGGGGCTTTGGACCGATGTAAAGGCTAGATGTTTAAACAAAAGCATCATGTTATTACAAACACATGTGGGATACAGGATACTGGAATCGATGATTTCACATGTATTTTAAATAAAAAAACAACAGTACATTAAGAAATGCAGAATATGATCTACAGTATCATTGTTTCCCAATCGAGGAAGTATGACACAACCAACATCATTTAACTGCAGGGATGTTACCTTTTGTTGAACTCATGCACCCTCCATGACTTCTTCATGGACAAATCAATTATTTTTCACTTTACATGAACAGCACTGTTAGAACATGTGCTGCATTACTTACACGTGTCTACTAAGAGGTGCTCTTTCATAGAGTTTTGTATCATACGACGACGTTATTTTCATCAATTTTTTGTTTAATTTAAATGACATTTTATCCTGCAAATGAGAAACCGATTTGATAAATGTAGCAGATTATAATCCATGTTTTAGGTTTAGGATAGCACCTTTTTGTGTTTCTGTGTGAATTTGATGTCAGAAATATCTTTACCAGAGACACTTTGAAGATAGTTTTGATTTATTTTACCTTTAATTCTTTGCTAAGTATACATATCAACATTGATTCTGTGCTATTGCAATAACTTATTTTCTTATCTTCACATTCTAAGCCAACACCTCCATTTAATTACAGTATACATTCATAAACTAGCTTATCTATGCTCTCTCAGACACACACTGGTCATCTGGTTCTCTTTATCATTTTCATAGAGAGGAATGCATTGTTGCTACGGCTGGTTCTCATTTCAGCTTTTCTCCCCAAAAACAGCTCTTCTAATTACAATGGCTTTGCCCACATGTCTTTGATTTTCTTTTTCTCCCCTTTATCCACTCATTTCGACTTCTTCTTATATTCAAAACTATACATTTAACAAAGAACACATGTCACATTAGGGTTCAGGAAGGAGGTTGAAGAAGATATTTGACAGAAAAACCTGTTGCTCTATATTGTTTAGTAGACAGAAACCCCTGAGATAAACGGTATTTCATGGGGCTGTCATGAAACGTGGATTCTTTTATCAAAAGAGTTGTACATTTTTTTTGTCGGTTTATAAGGTCTCAGCAATATCTTACTTTACTTCTAAAAAAAACGTCTTCTTTCACCCTGTGGCCACATGTGCTCATGCATCCTTCATCATTTATTTGATACCTTCTTTAATATCACAGAAACAACTTTTCCACTGACAGCAGTTCAACATTATGTCCAGCAAGGACTGGTGTAGATCCAGAACCATTAGATCTGGACTTTTGACTCATCCTCAGGTAAGAAAAAATATAAAAACATAATATCATGTCTTATTCTCTTGTCTATATGATTTTTCTCCATGACTTAATCGTTTTGGTTTATGTCTGTGGCCAGAGATTCTTCTTTTGGTATAACACATTGAAATGAAGGTTCTGCTTTAATTCAGAGTAATTGTATCCTGATATTTATTTTGAACATTTTAGTGTTTAAGAGATAACCTCTACAACAAGCAACTAAAATTGATTTTTTTCATAATATTCAGTTCCACATTTTTATGATTAAATGCAATTTTAAAAGGATTGTTTTTAAAGTTTGAATTTGATACTGTCACGTATGTTTACAACAGGCAAGGTTGTCAGAGTTGTGGCGTCAGACTTGCATCAACCGTTAGAAGGACCATTTAAGGGCTCATCATAGGTAGAAATCAAATCAATTTAAACTGTATTTTTGAAAAACTAGCATGATTTTGAAAGCAGAATTCCCTCAGTGCTCATTCAGCGGTAAGTAAACACTAAACTTTATCATAATACAGTACAGTGACTATTGTACATAATGGCCAACGACAAAGTCGCAGTATAAACTCGTCATCGGTGACGCGCTTTGAGTTTGGGCTCATGCACGCAAGAGGTAGAGAAAGAGCAGGGAGACAGGGAGGCGTGATTGGTTCATCAGATTGGTCCCTCATAGCAGACATTGGTCAAAGCTTTTACAGGCTTACAACTGCTACAGGTGATGGACTTCAGAGCACATAAATAATCAATTTCTGTCAGAACCTTTCAAGACAATTTCAACCAAAATCTCAAAAAGTGTGTCTGGAGAAAATGACCAATCCTGCCTTTAAGTATTAAATGATAAAAGAGCAGTTTCAGGCTTTGGCTCTGTGTGCTTATGGTTTGTGTTGGCAGAGCATTTCTGAAGTGGTAATAGGTGGGATAAATACCTCTTCTTCAGACGTGAAGTATGCCTGGTTAACTCGCCTGAGGGTCACAACCCTAACCCTCCCAATTACAACTTTGAACTGGTCTGAACTTTAACTGCAGTGTCTGATGGCCTGTCTGAGTAATTTATGGCTGCTGACAATTCCCCTATCTAACAAAGCTTTAACTCCTGTTAAATGATTAGCTTTAAACCAAACTCATTCTTATCGCCCACATTCCAGCAACACTTTTTCAGGAATCATTTTTTCACCCTTCTTTCTGAGAGTTTCTTCCTCAACATGTGTGAGGCAACCTGCGGTTTTTCTTTTCATTATATCAGGTCAGTGCTTGTCTGGTTAAAATAGTAACACATGTTAGAATCAAAACTGTCAAGTGGAATCATATGTCACCAGATTTTATAAAACCGCTACAGTAATCTGACATTTCACTGACGTCTGAAGCAATATTGTCTCTTCACTTGCTCTTTTTTTCAGGGTCAGAGGTCAGGGTCAGCTTCACAGCACCCTTAAAACAGGTGGGGTTTCATTGGGTCGATCAAAGACACAGTAGGGTGGTTGTCCTCAAACTCACCCAAACTGTCTAATTGATATTATGCAACAATGAGTTTTTACGTGTGCGTGCACACAAACGCACATGGGTAAAACGATGTTTCCAAGTGCATTTAATATTCTGCATGTGAGTATGTTGTACTTTCGCAATACAGAAGTAATAGAGGCATGTGTGTGGAGACAGAGAATGAGGGAGAGAGAGAGAGAGGGAGGGAGCAAGGGAATGGGGGGTGGATTTTCCAGCAAGAAAGAGCTTTGAAGTTGAAGTGAATTCCAGGAGTTTCCGGTTAACAAGCCCAGGGTATAATGTGAACCAGGACCGTGTGTGTGTTTGCAAAGAGGGAAAAAGCCTCAGCCTCAGACTCTCTCTGCTGGTGAGAGGGGTTAACATCACTGCAGTCTTTTCTGTCTTTTTACCTCTAAGATTCATGATTCCAGATTCGGTCCACCTGCATACTTTAGGCCGCAGTATGCTTCATTCTTGAGTTTGGATTTAAAGTATGGAGGTTTCTCCGCTGGACGGTTTGTGAGCTTCTTTTAAACAGCTGGTGAATGCATCTTGTCTGCCGCAGATGCAACCCTGCAGCCATAAGGGTGTCAAACACAACACTGCACACATGCATTCTTTGTGAGCTGCTGAACAGATCCTGCTGATTGACAAACCTAACAACTGCTCGCTCGGTCAGTAAGGATGTTTTACTTCTATCACTCGCACTTGCCTCTGTTGTTGTTTGCTACCCTGTGGAGTCTCAGCTACCCGAGTTTGCTCACTGCCTGGCAGGGCATCAGTCGCGGCAAGTCCAAGGATCAGCTGGATCCAAATGTGAGAGAGTGGGGAGACTACTCAGATCTCCCTCCAGGAATAGAGCAGGGGCTGGGATTTGATGAAGACGGAGAACATGGAGACAACAGAGGAGCTCGAGAGCCGTCATCGAGCCTGGGGCCGGAGCTGGATTTTCTTGCAGACTTTGCAGGCAAGGCGCAATAATGGTGAGCTTATTTGTCTTTTTTGTCTGTTCTTCTACTTAAGAGTACCTCTATGCTTCTTCTCATGTAGGTAAAAAACGCTTGTGGCTGATAACAGCCCCGTCTCACAATGACCACTACCTCCGTATGATGGAGAAACAGCTGGAAGACATGGAGCAGGTACTGATCCTATTTAATATCTCACAGGGATATTACAAAACATCATTATTTCGTTCTTAGCTGTAAGTCTTCCTGTGTCTGTGTTTCTCTCAGAAAGAGCTGAACTGTCGTCTAGCAGAAAGAGACACATTCATCATCACCATCATCCAGAACGCCATGATGGAAGGTTGCATCCAGAAAACCACTTTCCAAGGTGATGCCACAGTAGAGAGCCTGGACCCTGACACAGTCACCAAACTGCTTCACTATCTGGATCTTACAAACCAGGTACACCAAGTTAATCTTTCCACAGGATACTGAAGTTTCTTTACTTTCTCATATTAGCTGTAGCTGCCTTAACTGTTGCCTTGCTACATCAACTGTTTCAGGAGGAAGGGTTCACCATGCTGGTTCTGAAGAAGAACCTTCGGGTCAGTGAGCGCTTCCCTTATGCGGTCCGTGTTGAGGCCATTTTGGAGCTCATCGATCAGTTCCCCGTCAGAAAGCTGGAGAAGATGACAAGAAAAGGATCCAACTTAAGGTCCCATAATGCAACAGTGTCATGTGCTAAATGAAAACAGAGGAAGTCTATTCAGTTGAATATCAATAGCAGTTGCGTGTTTTATATAAGCAAAGTGAGAAAAACTGCAAAACACTAAAGTGGTATCAGTATTGTGCATTGCTATCGTGTTTTTTTTTTTGTGTATTCATAAACAGTAATTGAAATGTTATTATTCCTTTTTATAAAGTTTATTCAACCAGGAAAAAACATTAAATGAGTTAAACAATCTCATTTACAAGAGGGTCTTGGTCAAGCAGCATATTAAAGAAGTGGATGCAGATTACATTTTGGTGCTTCAATTTTAGCAATTTGACAATCGCCATCTTGGTTTTTCCATCCTGACATGACGATATTATAGGACAACTTTGTAGCTACACCCCTAAGGACACTGTATTATCATCAATTTTAATGTGAAGTCCCCATGAAACGGAACATCGTGAGTATCTAACCCTTGTGTCGTGATGTATTTCCAACTGAAACAGTATAGAACCAATCACAAGATAGAGGGCGGGAGATGACGCTTGGATAAATTTAATTGGATTGTTAGCTTAGACAAAACTTTTTTATAAGTCCAAAAATGAGTAAACGCTCCTGAGTGCATAATGAGTCATCAGAAAGCTGAAAAGTTTTATAGGAAAAGAAAATAAAGTTGTTATGATGAAAGAACATTCAGATAATGCTTTATTGAAATTTATTTGGCAAATAATGGAAGAAAAACAAATATTTATCTCAGGAACGCTGGATTAAAACTGGGTAAATGCGTTTTCACTTTATGGGGAATTTATTGCGACTGTTATTTGCAAAATGAGCCAGAAAGTCCTTTAAAAATAATAAGTAATACATCAGCTTACGAATTATGTCATTTTTTCATCAGCTTCCTTACAATGGGACTAAGTTGGGTCACAATGTGTTATCCCCTGCTGGACATTGAAAAGATTACAGTTTTAAAAAATCCCTACATTGGCTTAGTTTTGTAAACTAATAGGATATGTCCACTACAGTCTTTGAGTGTAGTTCAAGTGTAAGTTTTGAGTACTATAATTTAGGTCCAATCTATCTTGGATCTATTATTAAAACTTAGGGTATTCATGTACAATTGGGATAAGGTGTTTTTTTTAGGTTGATGTAATGAAAAATATATATACACAACTTGGTTGGACTTTTTTTCAGGTGTAAAACAGCTAAGAAGAAGGTTGTGTCAAGGAAGAAAATGAGGAAGATGGTGCTCAGCCCTCAGAGGAGAGGAAATGTGACCTCTGTTGTCCCTTTACAAAGAAAACCTCCCCTGGACAAAAAAGCTGCTCTGAAAAGTAAGATCCAGGATATACTGAGTGGACGGTCTAGGTTTGTGATCCGCAAAGTGCCTGCTGTGGGTTCCGCGAGGGGAAAGGTCACAAGCAGTGGTGGAGCCACATCTAAAGGACAGGAAAAGGTTCTCAGCCCTCCATCTGTGTCAAAGAGCAGGGAGGAAGTGAAAAAAAACAGGTGCTAGTCAGCTTTCGTTTTTTCTTTTTTTTTTTTAAGCACAGCAGACAGTGTGGATGTTTGATTGATTTCACTGAAACTGCTCAGATTTTTTTACAACTGGAGGAACATCAAAGTCTTTTTCTTCTCTACTTCAGGCCAGACTCCACTGCAGAAGAAGGAAAGAAAAGACAAGGAGGGAAAAACAGTGAAGATATAAAAGAGCTCAATGTAAAGGAAGACACACAGGAAAAACAAGGCTCCAAGAAAAAGGGCAAAGGGAAGAAAGGGAAGAAAGGGAAAGGAAGAGGTAAAAAGTCCAACAGAGAGGCCAGTGAGAAGGATAAAACAGCCCTGAAGGAGTTTATGGACAGCTTTAAGGGGACAAGAAGATTAATGGTGAGTATTTTCACATTTTCTTTTGACCTTTATCCCAAATCTAAATCAATGTATCTGCATCTGACCAGCACCGTCCTATCATGTATTTGGAGTAATTGATCTGTGTGTTTATGTTGTACTGGTGGTAGTTGATCTCTTCACCCAGTAGAGATGCAACATTGTACCTGCAGCAGAAAGAGGAGAACGAGAAGCAACACTGTGGCCTCGCTATCAGGAAGGTCACCGTGGCAACCGTTGTGGGTGAAGGAAAGGAAGCCATGCTTTCACTGCAACACCATCAGCTTGGTAGAAAGTGCTTAATACATCTATGCCTTTGTGTACATTGTTGTTTTTTTTAATATTTGCACCCTATAAAGATTTGGTTAGGTTTTCACCAGAGGGGTTTCGAGTAACTGGGAAAGTTTGCAGGTATTTCTTTTTTTAAAGTACAGGAGTAAAGGAAAACATTGTATATTTCATTAAGGCGTGACCAAATGCAAATATGATGCATTCATAGTTACAGCAGCAGAGGTTCAGCCACTGTGAAGTTCAACAGCCTGAAACTGTGAATTACTCTCTTTGATTCGTTGTAGCAAGGATAATACTTTACTATATGATTTTTTGTTGCTTCTCCAACTCCCTTCAAAATGTTCTTTAGAAATTCTTATGTAACTGTTTTGAGGTGTCTTGAAATGCTTCTAAGGAGCATCTGTATTAATAGAAAACAGCATTTACACCTATAGCGACACTGTGATGTGGCGCTATAGGGAACTAAAACCATGGTGTTGCTTGGCGCTTTAGCAGACAACACATCTTAGTTGTGCGTGATATTTTGCCCGTTACTGTGTCTGCCTGCCGTGCATCTATGCAAAAGTTCATTTATATCTTTGTTATGCGTTTCAGAGTCTGAGCCTCCACTCAGTGACCAATCAGATCACTTCTCAGACCCAGGACTGATCTCTCTGTTGAGAGCAGAGCTTGGCCTGTCCTCATCCGACCTCTTTTCTATGACCATCACAGACTACGAGATAAAGGCTGATGTAAGACTGTCTACTCCTCTTATCCCATGTTTGGAGACTACAAATATCCATCAATAGACTTGTTTGTTAGTGCTTTTTTTTTTTGCCTAATTAGCTTTTATCTTTCCCAAGAGAGTCTTTGAGGCTCCTCCATCAAGTCCTGCTCTCTTTGAGTTCATTGACAACTTTCCCTCGAGGCGTTCAGAAAAAGAGAAGGAGAGGAAGAGTCCTCCAGTCTGTTCAAAAGACAGTCCGCCTGGAGCTGAAAATTTACTGCTCAGGTACAAATGCATTGACACTGTGAATCTGCTCTGCTCCAAAGAGCCAAAATGCAGTAACAAGGGTTAAAAATTAATATGTATGGAAGGCCCACATGAAGAGCTGAAACAATCTGGCAGCACGGAAGAGTTCGACCAGGGTTTATAAGCAGTCACTGATGAGGGTGAAAGCACCAGGAAGCCACAACCAGCTTCTGAAAACACAGGGAAAGCCACAACAACAGCACAGGAAAAAAAAACACAGTGCACCAAAAAAACAAAAGAAACAATTCAGACCCACCACATCATTTTGTGAATTCAAAGGTTTCATTCTCAATAAACTCAGTATTAACTGTGCACCAAGGCAAAACACAGCTAAAGTCAACGAGGTCAACTAGCTACAAAGCTGACGCCACTGACTCAAACCCTGTAAAGCTATAGCTAGTGATAGCCTCATCTTGCCTTGGCTAATACCCTCTAAATGTTACAACTGCTGCTAAAATTTGAGCTAACATTTTGGTAAATAAATCTTAGCAGAAGCTTAATCCTTTCATGATAATAGCTAGCTAGCTTAAAGCTAGCTTAGCAGAGTAATAGTACTCACGTCTCTCATTATTGTAAAATCTATTTGTTGATGTTTACAAATTTTGGTTTTGTCAAGAAGTCCTAAATGAATGTGTCTGAACACATCATGGCTCAAGGACAGGCTACGACTTTGATTGCCTTGACACTAAAACATTCAAACCTGAAACAATGTGTTATCTGCTCTTTAGGTTCATGTCTAAGAGAAGACTGCTGCTCATCTCTGCTCCCTCTGAGGATGATTACTCCTTCCAACAGCAGCTCTCTGCTCTCAGAGGACAGGAGTGTCACCTGGGTCAGTAACAAACAACATTTACATGTCCTGAACATTACACTGTCTGTCTGTCTGCTCTGTACTTCTTGTGAAACATGGAAATGTTATGAGAAAGTTTGGTTCCCCTTCTACGAAGCCCAGCTAGGAGGTGACATGGATTTCTTTTTTTAAACCCATGCTTTCTACTTTTTGCACCCGTTTTCACAAGTTGCACTTGCATTTTTGTAACTTGCACAGGCGTTTTTAATTAAAGAAATTAAAGTGATAAAGATAATATTCCCATGTTGCCCTAATGTCACGCTCAGAGTGGGAAGCCCAAATGTTGTGTCTTGCCTTTTTTTATTCTCCCAAATTGTTTTTATTTACATTAAAGAGGTACTGTATGCCAAACAGTCATAAACAGTTATAATCAATCAATTCAATCAATCAATCAATCAATTTTTTTTTTTTATAGCATCAAATTCACTCTAAATAAGCAAATTGATGCATTTATCATGCATCAGTAAAATGAGTCTGTAAACAGTAACTTATTAGCCTGTGTTATTCGTATGGTGTTAGGTAGCAGCTAGGCTGTAACGTCAACTAATTCAGAACCCCTGTAGCTGCTAGCAGCTAGTGATATACACTTAAAAGTCCTGTGTTGTCCCCATCATATAATACAAAACACAAATGGACCAGGTTGTACTTTGATACATTATTTGTTTCGTATTATTCATACTAGAATATCATGTTTCCCACCTGACACTAAGCTGTTTGTTACCTAAATTAATGTTACAAGCATTTTGTGTCCTTACACAGGTATTCGGCACTTTGCCATGTTGAAGCTAACTGGAGTAGGAGACAAAGCATCAGGAACTGTTGAGCTATTTCCCCTAAATGGTGAGTCACAGTGATATGAGGAAGTCCAGGTGCATTTGGAGGTGACTGAAACGTGAAATCTGTATTTATTTATTGCCAAATTTCTTCACAGAAACATGTCAAACATTAAGGCCGAACTGTGTTTTTAGGAGATTCTCATTGCATTGCATTGTTCCCCCTGTCTTTCATCTTCTAGGCCGCAGTCAGAGTGAAGTTGAGCCGTTAACTCGAGATGCAGTCAACAATGTGAGAGAACAGCTCAAGATCAGTAAAGACTACTTCAGCATGGTCTTTGTGGGAAAAGACAGTGATGTCAAAGCGTGGTTCCCATCACCCATGTGGTCGCTGGACAGTATCTACGACCTGGTGGACTCCATGGAGCTCCGCCTCCAGGAGGAGAAGCTGCAGAAGAGACTGGGGATCCAATGTCCTGATGACAGAGGGAGAGGAGGAGGTGGTGAGGGGCATTATGGAGGTTATGATGAAGGGTCGGACGAGACATACTTGTATCACCGATCAGAGGAATGATATGAATGAAGGAGGAAGAAGATATAATGGAGTAAAGAAGAGTGATCTATATTTTTGTGATGAGACAGCAAATACATGAATATCCACATAAACAAACTTTTAAACAACGGCCTCCAATACTCACCTTCATGACTCAGAGGATTTTTTTTTATAAAGATGATGTTGGACACCAAATAACAAGCCATGGACCTTTTGTGTTTATGCAATAATAATGGCACACAGAACAATAATATAATTGGTAATACTCAAGCAAGTCTTTTTTTTTCAATAAATGATGGTGTTCTTTGAATATGTGGTGATTGTAGCATCCATGAAACAGGAAGAAATTTGCCAAGCAGGTCTTGCTTTTTGGCAACACTTTTGTCCAAACTTTCTCAAACACATTCAGAGTTTAGAGTAAATAAATCCAAAAGTCTTCAGCTGAAAGGTGATGATTAAATTGATACTGTGTTTTTGCAACAAAAAAAAAGTGTTTCTAATGTAGTACAGTCTAAAAGGTTCACAAAGAAGGCATATCAAATGATGAAACTACATAATGTTATGCAATCCAAATCTTTAAAAAAAAGAATAATTACATTTGCATGATGGCATGATGGTCCTCCCACAATGCAAATATATGGCAGCCAGGTGGATCGGGTCTCATATTGTGTCATGTTAAGTAAGGTGGATGGTGGAGGATATCGAGATGAATGCCCTATTCCCAGTGCATCCTGGGAGAGTCTGCACGACACAATCTACTGTACAAAATGAATTGCCAGTACATGTACTGTCTTGTCTTATCACCCCAACATAACACCAAGACAACTAGGACGTCCAGATGAGAAACAACTATTATACACAAAGGCTCCTTCTACTGTCTGATGAAACATTTTTTGGTTATGCTCCTGCCTAATCTGGTCGACAGTCGGAAGTCAAGATGCATGACACACACCAGATTGCCAGAATCCTTCAAGTGCATTTAACTGACTTAAATTCTTACCTCAACATTGTTTTTCTCCATTTAGCCATGATTTAATGTCATAGGCATGGACTACTACTTGTTCTTTAGAAAATTGCCTAAAATGTTATATTGATATTCATGCCCCCAAAAGGATGAATGCTACTTACCCTTATCTACTGCAACACAAGGATGTTCTTAATTGTGCTTTTAAGTAAAACATTTCCACAATTTTTTGGAAGAATTTCCATTAAATCTGTTCCACATAAAAATGGCCCAACAGGTGAAAACCTAAGGACTTTGGCAATGCACTTACTCTTCATCGAGCAAAGCTTTATTTGATGACCAAATACGAGTAAAACCAATGACATTCCCATCAGCTTCAGCCGCCCTTTAATAAGCAAACATAAGCATGCAAACATTTTAGAATGTAGAATGTAAACAGTTCACCTGCTAATGATTAATATTGACAATATAACAATATCATATTTACAATGTCTAAATTAGTTGCTGACGAACAAAACTTAGTTTTATTAGTATTGGAGCACAGAGGGAAACTGCTTGGAGTTAGCCAGGGATAGGCAAATCAATGAGATCTGAACACACAGATAACAGAGGCTGTGACACTCACACAGAACACACACTCTCTACTGAGAGAGGAAGTCGCTCATGAGCTGGTGTATATATCCACCCACAAACACACATACAGACTCACACTCTCTACTTAGTCACTAAGTCATCCACTACCTCGTATTTCTCTCTTTGACAGCAGCAGAAACTCACCCTGATTAACTGAACAAACACACTATACGCCAACCATTCAGACCGAGCAGTCGGGCCAGAGATTAAAGCCTCAACATGGTGAGTACAAATAAACTCTTTCAAAGATCACTTTTAAGATTCAGTATGTTTGATGTTACTCCAGTTATACAGTACATTGATGTCAATTCAAAAGCTGTGAGTTTTTTTTTAATCATAGAATTACTCTGGAGGGCTTTGGTAATTGTTCAATATAGGAAAGACGCCATTGGAATCATTACATTTCTTTTGCATTCATGACTACTTCTTTGTGACAAAGAAGTGCACATATATATTTAACAAATATATATTTATCAAAACGTATTAGATTTCAAATAACTAAAGGGCTTAAAGGACTAAGATATTTAAACAAAGCGTTGACTTAATTTAAAATGTGTAACATGTTGGATATTTAAGGCCTCTTTTGTCAAATTTCTTTAGAAAAAAAGTCAAAACCAGGAAAAGTCACTGTTCGGGTTGTTGTTTTTAGTTTGATCTCAACTACATTGAGCAAGATGACTTAAGCTCCAGTTTGCATCACACTGGAAATAGAAACAATGGTTCCTCTTTACTTTGACCAGAAGACCTTATTCATTTCTAACGCACTTCTAAAAAGGAATACTGGGTATAGTCTATAGTCTCTTTTCTCAATTGATAAACTATAATCCAAACAATGTATCATTTATATTTTATTTTATTTTATTTTGACAAATTGCTTAATCCATCCAAATCCATCCCTGATGAACTTCTTCACAACACCAAATGTGAAGAATTTGCTGTTTTCTTTTATGAAAAAAGTTCCCACCTTAGAAATGATATTTCAAACATACACATAACCGGGCCCCCTCCCACACCTTCACAACAACTAAATGTAGAGGAAATAATTCATCATTTGAAACCTAGCACCTGTTGCCTCGATCCTCTCCCCACCAAACTCTTCAAAACTGTCTCACACTGCCTCATCGATAACATTGTAAACATTATAAATACCTCTCTACGGCATTTTTCCTTTGCCGTTATTACTCCGCTGCTGAAGAAAAATGACTTAGATCCTTCAATACTCAGTAACTACAGACCAATTTCAAACCTCCAATTCATTAGTAAAATACTTGAAAAAGTTGTTAACACTGGACAAACAAATAAACTGGACAAATACCTTTCAGATCACAATATATAGGACAGATACCAGTCTGGTTTCAGAAAACATCACAGTACTGAAAAAGCACTTGTAAAAGTAATAAATGACCTTAGAATCAACAGGGACCATCAGAGAACATCAATTCTAGTGCTACTTGATGCCTGGATTTTGATGTTTTGGTTTGTTTTGGTTGACTCTGGGTGTTTCCCCCAGCCAATGACAGCATGCAGGTGAATTTAGGATTGGATACAATTCAGCGATTGGACTCCATTCAAACCAGCTAATATGAGGGATGCAACCTATCGTATTTGTACCATGAATTTGCCCACTATACGATCAATAATTGCAGGAACTGAACGATACTTTTGCAATTCCAATGTCCCCTCAACCAAATATTTTTTTTGTGATTTGAGAGTAACCCATAACATCAGCCTGACTGACATGGCCATCGTCATTCAGCACCTGACCGGCTCGCTCGCTGCTCTGCTGCCAGGCTTTACCTGCCAGATGATCACCTGATGCCCTGTTAACACCTGTGGTTCATTATGCCGGACAGACTGTAGGAAAACGCACATCACAACAACTTGAGCTGCTACTAGCTCAGCTACACAGTGGCTGGAGCAGTTTGCAAACAATCAAGACTTTAATAGTTTGTTGCTTTGCCTGTTCATTTATATTAATTTATGTGGCATGCAGGGCATAGTTCTCCTTCGCCTTATTGAACATATTCTGAGTGTTGCTCTGATGGTAAATTGGTTCTGTTAAGCTGCTTTGCTTCATTATAAAGCGGGGTTTCCTAGGCTTGACAGAAAATTTTAGGTTTTTTACAAAATTGCAACTGCACAAACATTTAGAGAAGCAGTAATTGCAAATGTCTGGTGTTAGGTAATTTTTAGTTTGCCGTGGTTAAAAAACAGAAGTGTGAACCTGCCTCTTTTTCTCCTCTGTTACATGTCAGGCTTAACACGCTTTATTATGCCACTATTGCAAGGATATAACCGACACCATTAAAGGGACACTGCACCCAAATCAGTCAATACACAACCTCCAATAGATTTAAAGTAGAACTGCATAATATGGCTCATAATTACTGTTTTGGATAAATGATTTAATTGGTTTTTGCACTTTTAAGCAATCAATTTTTGCACTTGTTTGGTAAACTCTAAGAACTTGGTCTATATAAAGATGTGAGAAAAAATTTGTTTATGTCTATCTGGCACAACCTTTTGACAAAGCGGTACCACTTTGCTGATTTAAAATCTTAGCTGTGGAAAGCATAAAACATTGAATATTAATTTTTTTAATTAAATGCTCTTTTTTGCAGCGTGCAGTAAATCCCTTTGTCATGACATTTACACTTTGGCAGGAGTTTCAGGTGGTAAATATTAGAAACAGCCGATCCTTTCTTTGATGATCTTGTTTGCATGTATCGGTCATAAAGACACATGAGTATTATTTTCAGTCTGTTTTATAAGCAGTAAAATGCTTTAATTGATTGATTGATTCCATAAACGTTATTTCTGTTAGGCAGCATTGTGAAGATTGCATCTTCATCCCAAAAGCATTTACAAACATTTTTAAGAGAAAAGATTTGAAGATGCCAGGGAGACAAAATTTCCCAGCCAGAGACGATGTGGGATATCAGGCTATATAAAACAGTGAAACTATTCAAGCTTACAGTAAGTAACATATTTTCCTTACTGGCAGCTGCTTCGTTTTCTGTAAGTGTAACTGTTGACCCTTTTATAACTGCGTGCGACTGTGTGAAACAAAGAATCTCCTGTGCACTGTAGTTTTACTTCCCATTTAGCTCCATTTTGTACATTTATACTTTCCTCTATACAGTTTCCCTCGCTATTACTGCTCTGATGTAGGAATAGCTGTGGCGGTGTGTTTATAATCATTATCTCCACTAAATATCTTACTTCCTGGTATGGTGTCTCTGGCTCTGGTCAAACCAGCTTCCAGCTAAAAGGTGCGGCTGTTGCTTTGTAAGTCAACGGGGAAACTTTGAGAACCCGCCACTTGACTGATACCGGACCAAGCATGCTGTTTAGACCCCAGTTTAACCCGAAACATGTTGTCAAACATTCACTAAAGCTCATTCAAATCCAAACCAGGCTTCCTCTTCTTCATCTAACACTCAACAAAAGGTTAACCTAACCTTGAAAATGTGTAAAAGGTATATTATTAATCAATGTTTGAATAACAAACGATAAGCCAGGTAGGCCATACAAACAGTGAGAAGTAATAAAGCCTTTACACATATGTCACCTGCTCAGTAGTCAAATGTTTTCACTCTTGAGTTTTTATTACATTTTAATAAAACAATATTTTAGACATTACATTGTTTCTGCTGAACTAAAGTGGGCAGAGTTTTACTTTCCTGTTAAATAAAAGAAAAAAGAACATGAGGAGCATTAAAGTAAATAACAAAGCAAGCGAAGCACAAACATTCGCAAACAGGCGCTTGTCTGGTCACTGTAGGAGTAACGTAGGCTTAAGTGTCTTTTTCTTAAGGAAGATATATGAAACTTTGAGTTTGAGTAGATTTTGTTGGCCCACATAGACAAAATGGTTACTCTTGTCTATATGCTGATCCTGTCCTGTTCCTGTATGTGTCATATTCTAAAAGAAAATGTCCTCATGCCTTCTTTCAGCTGGCTAACATACCTCCGTAACTATACAGTGAAACCTTCATCTGAATCCAACCTGGTTTCATAAGTGATGGACATTAATGTTAGGAAACTAAAACGAATCCACTAGCTGACAAGTCTAGTTTGAGACGAAGGGTCTTAAAGAGTCATCTATATTAAACTGAGTAAAAAAGCTTCTTGGTTTAAGGACAATTTACCACAAAGCCTGTAATAAGCAGACATCCTGAACCTCCTCAGCAGCTTCGTGTGTAGTTGCCTGAAATTAGTTTCATATGGTTGGTGAGTGGCTTCCAGAAAAAAGAAAAGTTACCACAGAGCGTGGGAGTTGCATCGACTTGATTAGAAGTGTAAAAATAAGTAAAGGAAAGGCCTTGCACCTTGTGTCTTTAATTCCTCTTAATCTTTGGCCAGCATTTTCTTATCTGTTGTCGGATGTCTGTCTGCATTAGAATCTTTAATTTCTAGAAGTATGCATAGCACATCTTAAATCTAAATCTGGTTATGTATTCTGGTAATTAACTGTTATTCTGATCTATTCTCTCCATTTACCAAGAGTGATGTAAAGGCCATGATGGCTCGCTTCCAGGCAGGTGAAGCCAGCGCTGACGAAACTTCCTCCACAACGACGGGCCATCCCAAAAAACCCCTGCACCCCACCCTCTCCTTTGGCCCAACCATACCGACAAAGAAACCTCACCTGGAAAGCCTTTCAAGCAGTGCGATAAATGTCCCTCCTAAACCTCCTTCTTATCTGAAAAGTACCGCTTCGTCTAAGAGTGACACAGACGCACATGAACCACACAAACCTAAAGTCCTGGCTAGCCGGTTCGGAAGCAACCAGGACAACACCAACACCAGTAGCAAACCTTTTATTGGTAGTAAACAGCATGTACCCTTTAAAACGCCTATTTCACAGGCCTCTGAAAGTAAAGGCACTCTTCAGAAGCCTCCTTTCAACAAGCCCTCCCTCAGCCACACCATGTCTGACTCCAAACCCACCTTTCCTAAACCCTCCACAGCAGTGGTCTCCAAGCCCAACTGGCTCAAAGAAGACAGCGCAGGAGGTGTAACCAGTTCCGCACCACACAAACTTCCTTTACAGCAAAAACCGAGCAGCAGCTTTGGAAAGTTACGGCAGCACAATGAAGAGACCGTGGGATCCAACGTGGACCCAGCAAATAAGCCTACTTTGCCAAACTCTGATATGAAGCCCCCTTCCAACTTCAGGAATGCTCAGAATATGTTCAACAAGGAGAAGGAGAAGACTGACCCGCCTGATAGCGACGTGAAAATAGATGGAGCCAAGAAGCCACCCCTTGCTGCCACTAACTCCACCCCACCTCCCAAACCTCTAGCTAGTAAAAAACCCAGCATTAAGAAGCCATCTCAGACCTCACTTCAGACCACCAGGGTTAAAGGTGATGCTACTTCAGGCCCAAAGCGTAACCCCCTCCCCAACAGCTTAGCCTTGGGCCATGCTCCTGCAAAGCCTAACCGACCCCCCCAAGTCAACCTGGAGAACTTTAAAAGAGGTGCTGAGGCCCTAAATGATGGTAGGTTGGAGTTTGTGTTACAGCTTTGTTTGTTTAAATGAGATGCCATAACACAGGGAAGGAGTGCTGTTGTACTAAATATACACACAGCTGTGGTTGGTTAATATACTTAAAGGTCTCATATATACTCCTTATCCACAAGTTTAAATAAGTCTTGGATGTCCCTGAAACATATCTGTGAAGTTTCTTGCCAAAAATCACTCCGATCCTGCATTTTAGCATGCCTATAAAATAGTCAAGTTCAGCCCTGCTCAGAACAGGCTGTTTCTGTGTATAAAGCTTTAAATGCAAACGAGCTGTGTTCGATCACGCACCTCTGGAAGGGCTTGGGTGGCGTGGGCTTTCTTTCACTATGCCACGGGGAGAAGGCAGGGGAGGGGTTACTGCCCTTTGGTGATGTCACACAGGGAAAATCTCCAAACGGCCGGTTTTTCTGGAGCAGGTAAAAGATGTAAGGATGGACTTTTCTCATAATTTAGGAGAGAGGCTAGGGATACATATTAGTGTTCGACAAAACATGGTAAAGTGTATTTTGCAGAACATGTGACATTTGAGGTTACAGGCTGATTGACCAAGACAATCTCAAAGTGCTGATATTCAGTTTAACAGAAGAACCTAAAAAATTATCACTTTTACATATTTATACCTTATTTAGCTCCATCCAATCAGATTCATTGTTTGAAGCTAGACATTGTTAAATACTAATGAACAAACATTGTTTTGTGTTATCAGCATCATTTTATCACTGAAAATAGAGTGCAAGTCGCTCTTCCTTCAATTATTCTAAAACACCCCTGAAACAAAAAAAGAAGATTCAAACTTTTAACAGCATGTTGTCACACTTTTAGGGTGACAGAAAACTCACTTCCTGATTTATACTTTGCAGGCAGTAAAAAGCTCCGTTCTAAACCGGCAAAGAAGTGTAGAGTTCAACATTTTTTAAGGATATGTAGGCAAAGTTTGGGTTTTTAAATGAAAAAATATGAACTCATGACCTCAGAGTTTCTGAATGGCTATACGTTATAGGTTACTGATTAATCGAGAGCTTGGATTGTACTATTTGGTTGACACATTTTTCAGGTCTTTGGTGCAAAAATAAATGAATCCTAACCTGTTTGATAAATTATCAAACACAACAGCTTTTTCCAAATAATAAATGGAAGTTAAATGGTGTAGAGAAAAACCCTTAAAAAAAAAAAAAAGTATATATATAGTATATAGTCGTTCCAACTTGCTGAATAGAACAAGTGACTTTACTTACAAACAGCTGACAAAAAGTGTGTGAGAGAGCAGCTGAGTTTTAGAAGAGAAGGTCTGACACTTTGTTGGGACACACATGGGGCCCTGCAGGCAAGAATACTTTCACTATTTCTGGCTGCATTTACACCATTTGTTTTCCATTTTGTATGATATGTATGAGTGTGTTCCTCTGCTTCTAATCAATGTGCAACAAATACACCAATTCAAATAAGACAACAGTATGATTTTTCCACATGAACAAGCAAAACAAAAAAAAGTTACATAATAAACTTTTAGATGAGCCAGGAGCTGATCAGATGATGCTGTTAAAGAAAAATAGGGTACATGTGCAGGCCTGGTCAAAGTCTGTCAAACAAGTAGGTTTCTCAGGCATACTTTGTGTGAAAGCATGTCGGAGGTGCGAAAAGGGTTGCTTCACAACTAACTGTGGTCACAGTGAGATGAGCAATTTCATTAAATTCGCTTTGGTTCACTCACAAGCAGACAACAACTTCCCGTTGTAAAATAAGTCCTCTTTTTTACACTGCCCTGCCCTGAATTAGCATTTTGTACAAACAAAGTGCAGTTTAAGAAGGAGAGGCTGTACATTTGTTCAGAGCCGCAGATGAAAGATTAAATGAACAAAAACACTTTTGGTTCCGCATTTCCCCTGGACAAGTTCCCTGACCAGTTTCTCTCTCTCTCTCTCCCCCCCCATCACTCTGACAGCTGAGTCTGTTTCATCACATGGGGAAGTAAGTAAACAGGGAGAGTGTCTAGTGAGAGACTCTGTCTATAGGCCCAAAGCTCATCTGATCTTATCGCCATTTAGCTGAAAACATGTGGTGAAATATGAACAGAAAGTAAAGGTTACTTTTTTGAGGTCGATACCTATTTTGGTTATTGGTTAGTGCACTTCAAAAAAAAAAATTCTAACTACATTTTGTGATGAGTTCTGAAGCAATGTGTTTTTTTAGCATTTCAAAATGTTGGTTCCCATACTTTGTGCAATTATCTTTTGTGGATACTATGCTTTACTTAATTTTATTCTCCAAGAAAAAAAGAGTAGTAGTAGTACTTGAGTACAACTTCGAGTTACTTACTGAAATGTATCCATTGAGTTTACTTTATATTTTTACTTCACTGCACATCAGAGGTGCTTATACACTTATACTTTTTACTATGGTTGAAAACGAATGATGTGCTTTCAAGATATAGTTCTATTTAATACAAATTGAACAGTATAAATATAAAAATAAGCTCCCCCTCTGCCATGCTCACGTTATCATGCATCCCTGATAATAATACAACACATTAACAAGATACATCATGAATCATTCTTCTCCACAATGCTCCCTTTTTCATGACTCTAACAGTTCTTCTTAAAAGTTTTTGTACCTAATATTTCAAATGCAGGTCTTTAATTTGCCAGAGAGTATTTTGATGTTGTCTCATTATTTTAGGAGAAAGAAATGCCTCATTGGCAATCGACCCTGTTTCCCTTATTGGGAGTGAGAAAATTGTCAATCAATTTATAAATATATAGACAAATAAATACTTAAATGAGAGAGCTAGTCTGCTTAAAAGGACATTCCACATTATTACTTGAACACCATGTGTTTTTTTTGTCACAGGTCCTGGCACCTTTAAGAAACCCCTCATCCCGACCTCTCACCCCAGTAACAATAGTAACCATGTGACCCCAACTCAACCTCCACAGCCTGCACTTCCTAGTCTGCCTCCACGTCATCCTGGAGCCATGTAAGTCAAATCAGTCATGACAAACACCCTTACAAATCAATCGACGATAAATGCTGTAAGTTTCTTTTTTTGGATAAAGCTGCTCCAATAAACTAACATCCTGACTTTCCCTTTCAGGGCTCAGCAAGATGACTTCTATGATGATGTTGATGAATTCAGCAGCCCTCCCCCTCCTCCTCTACCATCATCTACAGGTTCGTAACAACCACAAGGCTTGTATTTTTAGTATGCATTTTAGCACAGGAAGACACAATACGATTAAGTGATGTTGAAGCTTGTTCCATATCTTCATTTTAGAATACACACAGAACAGGAACTATATCAGTTATCATATCTAAGCAGTACTCATTCCTACTTTTTCCCATTTGTTTCCTTCTTTAAGGTTCATGCTTTTGCCAACACTGTTACTTTTATCAATAGTTTAGCTTAGGAGACATAGCTTTATTCTATGTGTAAGAATGTTGTAGCGATTAAAAAAAGATCATGGTGTAAAAGCGCTTTGAGTAGTCTGAAGACTAGAAAAGCGCTATATAAGCTCAAGTCCATTTACCATCATATGTTCTTGTAATGTGGATTTCTTGTGTCTATTTAGGCCATCCAAGTCAGAAGGCAAAGGTGAGTCATGCTGAAATACTCTCACTCACATGACTACACTGAAGTTGTTTAATCCATTTACAATCAAATCGTTATCGGTTGATTTATACTGTAAACTCAATAAACTGACCGAACTGATCACTGATTTGATTCACGATTTCTCTGGCCCAGGTGGAAAGTGTCAGTGATGATGGAGAGATGTATGAGGATCTTGATGAACGATGGTGAGAGACCTTTATTCCTCGACTCGTCACAGTTTAAGCCCTGTCTTTAAATGTAGAGGCCCGTTAATGTAGCAGCCCTGTCTTTAATTGTGTGCTTTCACTCCATCCATACATGTGTACTATATTGAGGTCACAGGTCAGCTGCATTAATGTCAGCCTAGACCAACACTACTCTCTGGTGGATGTTTAAGGACACTACAAGAGGTCATTTTTTAGTAGTAGGGTGTACTTATTATAACAGAAATAGAAAGGAAGAGAAACTTTTGCTTTTTGTGATTCAACTAATAATGCACCCTGGCATCACCCAAAATTAAATCTGAAAAGTTTTTCAGTGGAAATCAGGTCCTTGCTGCACTAGTTCCCAATCATAAGGTGTATTTACTTATGTTCAGTTATTATTCGTGTTTTTGATCTAAGAAAACCTGGACTTTGGCTAAGATATTCAGACATAAATCTGAACTTAAAATCAGCTAAATAAATGTTTTATGCTGGTGTAAATTCTTTGTTTTACCACTGTTCAGCCCATTCTATAAACCAGTGATACTGGATCTTGCAGTCTGTCTAATCCTACTTGTGGTGCACTCTTTCTCTCTCTATATATAAAAAAACAGGGAAGCAGTTGAACAGAAACTAGAAAAGACGAAAGAGAAAGAGGATAAAGAGGAGAAGAAACGTCTGGAGGCTGAGAGGAAAGAGCAGAAGGAACGTGAGAAGAAGGAACAAGATGCAAGAAAGAAATTCAAAGTAAGTAAATAAAAAGAAACTCTCAGCTAAAGCTGATACAACTTCAGAGGAACATCTTGACATTCTATCTGCTAACTGTGTAGATTGATTTAGCTGAAATACTGTGACAACTGCTGCTTTTAACGGGAAGTTAATGTGTCAGCAAAAACAGGTCTGTCACATTAAAAACAAGAATTCTTATTTATATGTTCATAAGCTGTTTACACCTATATCAAACATTTGTTCTAAGCTTAGCTAAACAAAGCTAAGCCAAGCTAAGCTTAGCATCCACTTGCTCAGACTTCATATTTATATGACAGACAATAGAAAGGTATTCATTTACTCATATGAATCTAGGTAATAGACTTTCTCTGTGTACACAACAGCATGTTGCAGTTTCCCCTTCTTTCCAAGGCCTGTAAAATCCATATGTTGTCAGACCTAATGACTTAACTTTGGCTGCTCTTCATGTCATTGGTTGCATAAATGTTTTCTCTGCTTATGTAATGTGTCTTTACATATTTGTGTGTTAGTTGGTTGGTCCCCTGGAGGCGATTCAACAAGGGAAAGCCTGTGTGGATTGTCGAGGCAACAAGACCGACCTAGCTCTGAAGCAAGGAGACAGTCTGGACATCATCCGCGTCCATGGCAACCCAGAAGGGAAATGGCTGGGTCGGACACAGGATGGATCCAGTAAGTTCATGTTTTTGTCCCCATTTTTCCTTTATTCAGGTCCCATCTGTAAATACAAAACAATAATTATTTAATTTGTACATATTTCTATTTTTCATTTATATGTACACAAACTTGCAATAAATGACACCAGAACCCTAATTAGAAAAAGATAAATCAGTGTTTCACTCTTCTCTTATTTCTAACAGTTGGTTATGTAAAAACGACTTCAGTGGAAATTGACTTTAACTCGCTGAAGAATCACAAAGCTCAGCAGGCCTACGACCCTGAGGTATATGATGACATCGACGTGGCCTCTCATGACAACAGGTACCAAGAATGTCAAATAACATATACTAACTAACAGTTTGATGCAGTACTACCGTACACATTACACTTCCTACTGGATGTCACCTGTGTCAAATTTAGAGAATGCAGTTGGAATGGTTTGTCTTTTGGATGGCTCTTACCTAACAAAGAAGTCGATAAATCTATTTCCAAAATGTTTAAAAAAATTATATTCATGTTAACTGAATTTTTGCATTTTATCATTAATCCTTCCAGTTTTATTTTCGTACTTTGTTTACTTCATGTAACTCCTGTTTATCACTTCTTTGTGTTTGTCAAATGTTTTCTCTCTAGCGGGCTCAAAGGACCAGGAGGTATGCTCCACATTTTACAGAATAAGATTGATTTCATTATATACAGTTACAGTATTCAGATAATGTCATAGTTGTTCGACTGAGATATAACATGTCACTTATTACAAAATCTTTTTTTATTTTGTCCTGTAGTTGTCCTACCCCCGCTACCAGAAGATGGAGGAGAAATATATGACGATGTAATTGATCCAAACCTGGAAGTCAGGTGAGAACTGTTTCATTTAATGTGTGTTCAATGAATTCAAGCCTATGAGTTTCATGTGCTTGAGCTTTAAAAACAAACAGTGAATGCAAAAGCTTGATGCAGAAGGCTAGATGGTAAGGTTTTAACCCTCAGTTGGCTCTCTAGTCCCCTGGATCCCAGGTCTTCTCCTACAAAGCCTCGAGGCTTCCTGCGGATGTTCGAGCGGAGTAAACGCCCTGTCAGCACTAAAGTGTAAAATACACTCTGTAGTAAGACTGATCACAGATCTACTGCCACTAATTTAATCCCTAATTACTCTCACATTCATTTGCTTTTTTGAATAAATTTTTTCTCCCATCAGTTTCAACACTTTTCATCTTACTGAAAATCACTGCAGGATGTGAAATTACTAATTAAAATCTAAATGTAGTTCCTGTAATTACATCAATGCAGATGAACTGTGATTTTACTAATATTCATATTAATAAAGTAATTTGCATGTTTGTAATTAATGCATGACTGTCGGCTAATCACAAATCAGGACATCCTGTGCTAACACCGTCAGAAAGCATACTTTAACAACACTGATTATAATATCATGTTACACTTTATCATTGATTTTGGCTGCTTACAATCTTTAATCAGTAACTACCATCTATTGATAACACTGTTGTGATATAAATGATGTCACTTTTTAATCATTTTTCTTCTGTTGTGCCAGAGTGCCTCCACCCAGCCAGTTCACTGCAGAGGGGAACGCAGGTATCACCCACAGTCAAAATACTTACATGGATGGAAAATACATGAAAAAGGACACTAGTTATCAGTTTGAAATGATATATAAATGTGCTGATTTGAATCCTTGCCATTTGAGTTACGTGTTTCACTGTGTATGAATAGGCTATGTGTAATCACATTCTTACTCATTCAATACACACAGCAGTTTTGCTGCTGCAGCTTCACACAGTCTGATAGAAACAGAGATTTATGTCAGCTAATGCAAGCACATTTTAGATTTGTAAGTTTGCAATAACTAGGATCCTCTGGATATCTGTGCATCTTCTCTACTTGTTTTTCTCTTATGGAATAGAATCATTGACCCATTATACCATCTCTGTTTTATACCACTACCACTCAAAAACCCGAAGCATTGTATTTATAACAAGAAATGTTTTTACAGCTCTAAATGAATAAACAAAAGGTTTATTGCCAAAATACAATGTCCCCCAATTAGTCTCTTCATGTCCTTTAAAGCTAATGATCAAGTTGTTTAACCTACTCAGCTTTATTTGCACCCTTATGAAAATATTTTAATGTAAAGAGTCTGAAAGTTCTCCTTTTTGTGATCACAGATCAGCAGGGAGCAGCAATTGACGAGGAGATATACGATGACGTTGACTCGCAAACTTTGCCTCCCCTTCCTCCAGTCAGCAGGTAAAATAGAATCAGCCCTACAATAAAATGATCATGCAATAATTCAGTAATTTTCATATACATGGTTTGACGCGTGTGTTCAAACTGTTTCAAACACGGTTCGCTCTGCAGCCTTCCAACCCTTAAAAGCAAACGACAGACTGAGGAGCTGGACTCAAAGAAGCAGAAAAAGTTTGAAAAAGAGGAGAAGGACTTCAGGAAGAAGTTTAAAGTTTGTTTTTTACATTATGTCTTTTATGCACTTACATTGATCCTCTAACTTACTTTAACCAAGATCACACTAAAACTGGAGATTTTTAATATAATATTTCCAGTGCGAAAAACAATTGATCTATAATTGATTTACTGAATCTATAAAAACCAACAATTAAAACACAATGATTTAATCCAAGACCATTCAAATATTGCCTATATTGTTCTGATTAATGTAATGGGATTAATGATGTAAATTAAAAATGTATTATTCGGCTATGTGATTTCTTTTTCAGTATGATGGGGAGATCCAGGTGTTGTACCAGGTCAACATAATCCCGACGTTAAACAATAAGAAGTGGGGCGGGAAAGACCTTCAAGTCAGAGCAGGAGAGAAACTGGACGTCATGGTTAAAGCTGTGGACGACAAACTGATCTGTCGAAACGAGGACGGCAAGTGTGAGTATCTGCTGCTTGGTGTGAAGGATTCAAATATGAACTCTTTTCGTGTCTTTTTTTATTTTTTGCACCACAAAATTAATTTGTCTGTTTGTATTTTACAGTCGGTTATGTGTTGACCAGCCACATTGTTAATGAGTAAGTAGCAGATACATACACACATTCATACACACAGGGTCTAAGAATTAGAGACTTCTTCAATATTTTGATAACTGATTGTTTCCTTCCCGTTTACAGCGATGGAGATATCTACGATGATATTGGAGATGGTATGTTTTTTGGCAGTTTGCCATACTTTTATATTTCAACTATCAACTCAATGGAACTTTATGATAACTGTAAAACTTCTTTTAATCGCCCAGGGTTTTATTAACTTCAGTCTACAAAATGACCCTGCCTTTATTTGGGGCAGGCATCAGTACGTGACGGGCCTGTAATCATTTTCAAACAAAACTGGTGCACAGAAAAGATGGGAAAGATGTTATTTTGGGATACTGATAAAACAAATTAGATTACAAATCATTAATTTGATCAAGCTTTTTAAAAGAGTATCCTGCTGCACGGTTGGTACGCATTCCAGCATTATTCTGTCTTTCTTGGACAGAGGTTTAAGTTCATCTTTATTTCTTGGGACTTGCTGCATTTGCTCTTTATATTTGACTATTTCAGCACTAAATGCACAGGGATTGCGAGCTGCCTTTATTAGTCAAAACGTGCAGCAACACCAGGCCAGGGCCTGGGCTGTAAATTGGGATGGGCTTTTATTTGAAGTTTTACGGTATGTTTAACAGAAATAACCATTTGAAATAACATTTTGTTTTATTTTCAGATTGCATCTATGACAACGACTAAATAACCATCCTGCACTGGGTTTATTGTTGCACCCTGAAATGTTCACGTTATTTATTTTGTCAGTTGGTGGTTAACATCTGGAGCTAATTATTGATATTCAGATTGTATTGCTATTGTAAATAATTACTTTGTCATTTATTTATCTAAATTTAAATGTCTGGATAAATTGGACTGTTGGGTGTCATTCAGAGGTCTGGGTTGAGCCTAGTTCGATTTTATTTGAACAATGTGATTTTTTCAAATTGCAAAATCAAAAACATAATTTATAATAAGATATTTTACGATTAGTCTTTTTCCTGCAACATCTCAACAAAGTCGTTCTTTTCAACATTCAACAGTATTTGCAAATGTTCCTTGTTTTCACAATTTTTACAAATTCAACAGCTCTGTATGTACATTTATTGTAATTTCATTTATTGTATTCTAAAGTTTGAATATAGCCATATATCTAAATCAAATATGTAAACATTATTTGCATTGGTACTTATTTCTGCTTATTATATTTATATGTCTTTTTTAATTCTATATTCTATAGGCCTATATATATATATTTCTATATTTACGACTTCTATATTGTGTTTGAGAGCTACTGTTACGACCAAATTCCCCGCCTGGGATTAATAAAGTATTTCTGATTCTGGTTTTCCTTGTCTTCAATTTCAACATTTAGACTTAACGTAAATTTCTTTAACCAAGGAGCCACTAACAACCTGTGCAAGTATTACTTAACTTACTATTCTTACTATAAGTGATGTGTTTGCAGTGGTAGGATTTGCATACGGCTAAGTTAGAGCCATTTAAACTGTCCTTTTAAGCAAGTCAAAAACTGTAGCTCCCAAATCATAACTTTAGCTGTTTATGTGCAATATAGCGACTCAGTAACATCTAGTGGCAGTCACCAGGAATTACAAAAACCTAACTTCACAATCAGACCTGAATTTGCAGTATAACCTTCAATTTTGCTGTCACACAGGTTTCAAAGTACAACATTGATATTAAGAGCTTGGTTGACTAACAAATGGTTTGATCAACAGAAAAATCTAAATTTAGTGATGAATTGTTTAAACTGAGCAGGAATTCGTTTGTAAGTAAATTAAATATTTTTAAGTGTTCTACTTTTCCATGACTTTCTTGTGTTTTATGTGATTGTTTACCATCTTCTTTTGTTTTGGTCTAGCCAGCGCCATAGAGAGAGTCTCTCTACGGCGCTGGGAATAGCCCATAGACTGTAAATAGTTGGTATAACCTAAAGAAAATCACAGAAACATAGAAACTATGGATTAAGATAAAAAATGAAAAAAATATCTTAGTTACAGCTAATGCTGTCTTTACAGAACAGAATTAAGTGAGGTGATGTCGCACTTTAATTCAATTCAATTCAATTCAATTCAATTCAATTCAATTCAATTCAAAAAACTTTATTTGTCCCCGGGGGGCAATTCAAAGGCACACAGAGCAGTAAATTAACAACAGTGCAAGTGAACGAAACATTTTAACCTAAATTGCACTTGTAGATGTTTAAATGTGGGTTCATAGAACAAAAAAGTTGTTTTTTTTTCATAGACTATAAGGTTTTTTTATTTCACTGTAATATTTACTGTATTGTAATTTACTGTAATATTTACAGTCTATGGGTTTAGTCCTCCAATTTTAAAAAAAAACAGTAAATAAAACGTCACTTCCGCCGTGGCCGGATATTACGTACTCTCTTCACCATGGTTCCTCCTGTCGCAGTGTCGCCGCTCATCAAGGTAATAACACAAATGAGTTGCCTAAAGATTGTTATTGATGTGATTTTGTATATAAAGCGAGAAGAAATAATGTTTAAACACTAGACTTCTTCTCGAGACATTAACGAACTGACCTTTATTTTTGTTGTTCTTGGAGCGTGTTAGCTAATGTTTGCTAGCAATGTCATTGGGAGACTTGTGTCGTCACAGGTGAACATTACTCTGCAGTGCAGCTTTTAACTCAGGCTCGTCTTTCACGTTTGTCCTGTGCGAATGAAGTCGTGATAATAATTAGGATTTTTTTAGCCAAATAATCACAGTAATTTGGCATGTTAGTGTAGAAGTTGAGGCAGACTGGACTTCGCCCTTCTCACAGCTAACTGAGCTGTGTGTCAGTAAGGTCACCTGTGATCGCTTCATCGTTACTGCTCACGAGAGAACAGAAGAAGGTGGTTATCTGTCTGGTTGAATTTAATTCAAGTATATTAATTCCCTGCTGACAACAAATTTGTTTCAAAGCTAACCATGCCCACTCTGCTTTCAACTTGGCTTCACCTTTCTTTCAGACGGCCAGATGGTCTGCCCTGCTGCTCGGCGTGTTCTACGGCAAGCAGAGGTTTGGTAAGTTCTGCGCATGCGCCAGAGAGATACCCTATCAATGTACAGTTCAATCAATGAAATACAATATAGCGTACTCTGTGTATCCAAGCCTATAAATTAGACATATAAATATAAATATATATATATATATATATTTAAAATACATTTGAATGACATTATTACTGTCAAGTCAGTGTATAACCTCTGTACAGTTTATTTTAATTTACTTAGCTGTTAATATAACTTATTTATTTTTACTTTTTTGTACTCTTTCTTTTTTTCTTATAATGCTATTCTATTTTATATATAATTTTAACTTTTTTTTGTAAAAGCTGACTCAGGGAGAAATGCACAAAAATTCCAATGTACCTGTACTGTCCTGTACCTGTGCAAATGGCAATAAACATCTATTCTATTCAAAAAATGTATAACTTGTTGTTCTGGCCCCTTTCAATGGATGTAATGGCATCAGCATTTAGTTGCGCAAACTATAGTTGGTTTACTTATTATCATGTCTAACCTCTCTTCTGCTACTTGGCTGCACATTTGGAAATCAAAAACTTAGTTTTCAAACTCCTCAAAGTCATTAAAATGAACCAATGCCATCCTATTTGCCATATGTCAGTTTCTTATCCAAAAATATTAACACTAGTCACATCACAACAATTCGAAATACTTAAAAGCCCCCCAGGAAAAGGGTTACTCTCTAAGTGATAATGGATAATTTTCTTTTTTTATTAGATATTAGATGTACCAGTTTAATGTGTGAACTACTGATTTGGTTGAGTGTCTGAGATATGTCTGCTCTGATCTATAAGACAAATACTGATAAAGTAAAATATTGTAATTCTGCTTGTTTTTAGCCGTACACACTGGACATTTCACCTGGCCCCTCACTTGTCATAAATATTAAGAGTGTTTTTATTATTGTTTAGACTACCTAAAGCCCATTGCTGAGGAGGAGAGAAGGGTTGAGGAAGCAGAAAAGAAGCTCAGAGAGGAGCAAGAGCGCATCTACAAACAGCTTTCTGAAGGTGAACCCTCTCCGTACTTGTCAAACGAACACAGCTTCATTTGTTGTTCATTCTAAAAAGGCAACACACATTCTGTCACCATCTCCACAAAATGTTGTATTTACCTTTTGTTCTTTCTCTTCTCTTTGCAGCAAATTCTGAAACCATCCTGAAATGAACAATCACTGGACCGCTCTCAATATGTTCCAAACGTAATAAAAACAAAATTATTTTTCATGTAAAAATCTGAGTTCTTTTGTCTTTTTTTTCTTGTTAGGTTTCAACTTTGTACTAAAATACAAAATAACATGGAACCAGACCAGTACATATGATCTTAATCATCAGATCTCCTTCACTTTTTGAAGCTAGGTGTAGTTTGTGATATCAATTCAATGCAACAACAGTACAAACTACAACACGTGCCGTAGTGTGTGTGTGTTGTGTACCTGTCCTTCAGTAAGAGATGAGCCTGAGGGAAGAGCATGGTTTAATCCTGGCCTAGTTTAGCAGCAATCCCAGGATTAGGGTCAGGTACCAGTAGTAGAAAGTGCAGTGTGGACAGAAGTGTTCCCTGCTAGTCTTGTGTGTTGTTATATTAGATCAGTCATTGTGAACTCAAGATTGCCATAATGATGTACAGTACAATACATAGCTGTTATTGTGAGGGTTAAATGACTACATGTTGGGTCAAAAAGTGTCAAGTTGCAACATGTGAACTACGATGAAAAATCTTTGTTTTTAAATTACATTAAGTGTGTGATATGTCTGTTAAAAGATTCTGAATAGTGAGTTACTAAACAATAGGAATCATAGACATTCATGAGCATGTTTAAGTACCACATGGAAAAATAAAGCACTCGGTTACCTCCCCCCAAAATATTTTTGCTTTATTGTATCATCATTGCACAAATGAAGGGGTCAAGCTTTAAAATGTCATCATTTAAGTCTATTTAAAACTGGAATGGATTAATACACAGCATGTTACAATACCATTACCAATTAAGGTACTTTTCTAATATTACATGACCATCTCTGATAAACTCCCTCCTCCTCCTCCTTCCCATATGTGGCATACTTTGACATCTGTAAATGTATGCAAGCATGATCAAAAATACACATCAGGCATTAAAGGGTATAGGTGTTTTCATATACAACTTTTACTATTTAAAATAAGCATCTCTATTTTAACTAGAAAAATATTTCTTTATATTTACAGGGTGGAAGGTTTTATGTGAAATTCACTTCAAGAAGCTGTCTCAAACATCTCTTTGCCCGTGACTCTGTCTGCTGAGATCGTTTTGCGGATGACAGAAGGGTCTTGTGGTTAACACTGCTGCCTCAACATTTCCTGCTTTCAGGTCTTTGACCTCACCCAACCCTTTTTTGTTGACTTCGTTCTCCACACACACACACACACACTCCACATTTTTGTGTTTTTTTTTTGTAACAAACACATTGTTAACAATTATTGATATTCCTGCCATTGCCCTTGAACAAAACACTGGCCTCTGAACTTGATGTAGACCTCTGGTCTTGCTATAGTACTGATCCTGCTGCTGTTTACTGTGGGATTGGTCCATTGGAGATCATGAATTTCCAATCTGGACGTGTAACTATAGTAATAAAACTAACCTTATTTGGAACCAACCTATGTTCAGAATAGCAACTTGTGTTCCCATATTTTCTTATTTAATAAGACATTTGTACTTCAAACTGTGTAATATATATAAACGATCTCAGCTACGCTCCCAGATGTATTTACAGTGTGAAGGCATCGTGAGGAAGCAACTACAGGCTAATTTGTGCCCACTAGAAATACATTTCTGTGCCATCACCTCTCTACTTTACCTTTACAAATATACATCTTAAACTGCTTAAGCTTTTCATCTACCTTTGGCTCTCTGCAAACAACGTAAACAGACTCTCATTTGTCAACGGAAAGTGACTGGAAGTAGTTAAAATGATCAAGTCAGTATCAAATGAAATACCGAGTAAACATATATACAGAGTTGAATAAAGGTTCTATCTTAAATATATTAATATACAATATACAAAATGTGTAGAACAGAGGCTCAACATGATTCTATCAACAGTGACTTTGTATTCTCTGTAAGTGCGTACACTTAAATATTCCTGACTTCACACGGGCCTCACCTGTTATACAGATGAATGTAGAAGTTTAAACTCTATTTTTTCTTTGATTACTACACCAGAAACACAGTGAAAATAAATAATGTACTTATTATGGTCTAGACATTGCTTTTTTTGTTTTGGTTCTATCCTTTTTTTAGTTATTTGACATGTATTAAAAAGCTGTGCTCTCACTTATGTCTTCCTTTTTTTTTTCATTTGGACATTTTTTCCTTGGAGTGGAGACAGTCAGAGTGGCTGGCTTTGATTCTCAGGTGATCCTGAAGTTGTCGTTCATTGACGGACCATGTTCATTCACATCTTGTGCACAGCTTTGTGGTGTTTTAGCAAACCGAGCAGGTCTTGGAACCTGAGCCTCCACCACCGTGGTTGTTGGAAGGACCTGGTGGAAAAATACACAACAAACAAGATATTAGAGCTGTATGTTAATGTGAATGTGAGATAAAGTAACTGTCCCTGTAGCAGCTTTAATATCATTCATAAATGTGAAATGTGTTTTTCATTGCACCTTTGGCTGCATCTTTTGCAGCCTTCTCTTCTTCCAAGGCTTTGAGCGTAGCTTCATACTCTTCTTTTTTATTGTTCCACTCCTTCCTGTTGTTTAGGATGCCGTCCAGCATGGGCTGGATTTGTGGGTGGAAGCGAGAAAACTCCTGAAAAGATAGAGCAAGCATAGGTAAGACTAAAATTTGTTTTAACAACAAAACTTTTGAAAAGATAAAAACAAGCATTTTAAAGTAGGGGATGGAAGCATTCATAAATCGTTAACACCGATCTGCCCAGGTAGAAATTCAACTGTTATTGCTGTCAATAAATGACACTAATGAATCATCTGCTAATCATAAAACTGTATAACTGGTGAGACACATGTAAAAACACACATTTAAAAAATCTAGTTCATAAGCTAAAACTAAATATTAAGTGTTACCTTGTAGACAAACGTGCAGACAAAGTCAATGAAACCACACTGTAGCTTTGGAAGCTCTGCTGCTTTGTTCCTGTCCATCATGGGCTGAGCAGAGAGACAGAGAGGGTTAAACATACTCCATATGAACATCAGGGAAATAAATAGAGTAGGCACAAAGTCTTACTGTTCTGGTTCAGAGTAGTAAGACTTTGTGCTTCTGGCCTTTTAAAGGTTTTGTACATCTGAACTGTTTGCAATACAGCTTTCAGCTGCACATTGCTAATGACAGAACTCCAACAGGAAGAAGATTTCTGATCTCTGAAGTGTGTTTAAGCCTATTTCCTGCTTTTATCAGTTTCATACTGTTGGTTCTTGAATATTTCGGGGCTTTGGCTGTTGGTTCAACACATGTGATGGGAATCTTTAACTTTCATATAAATGGATATCAGACCGCTAATAGCCTAGCCAGTTGTTAACTCTTCACAACTTATGCCTTTATTTTAAAGATAGGACAATGGATAGAGTCAAAAATCGGAGATAGAATGAGTGGGGGATGACATGTGGGAAACAAGCCACAGGTAGGACTAGAACCCGGACTGCCCCCTTGGTGGACTGTAGCCTCAGCACATGGGGCATGCATACTAAACATTATGCTTCCTGCACTGCCAGATAAGCAAACTTTTATTATAACAATTATATAAACTCACAATAGGTTGCTGTTCTAATACCGTCCTCTCCAGGTCACCTTGCTCCCAAAACTCTGCTGCCACAGACAAGGCGACCTGAAAGATACACATAGACACACAGATGACATCATCAACCCCTGGAGACACCTAGTAAGTAACCCCTTTACCACATTTGTGCATCTCACCTTACTCTGAACCTCCCAAGGCTTGGTGATAGCTGACAGGTCACATGCTGTCATCATCATAGCCCTGAAACAAAAAACGATGATAAGAAAGACTTAAAAAGAGAAATAAATGTTTTCAAGCTTGTTGTACTCACATGACGATTTCCTTCCTGGTGGTTTCTAGAGTCATGAAGTCGACCCACTTCTTCTCATCCTCATACGTGTGTGAAAGGTCCACGATCTTCTGGAACATGGTTCTCTTTCTAGTAAGGTATGTTGAGGGGAACTATTTTACTCTTTAACATTCTATATTTCATAGTATTGACCAAAATGAAGCAATAGACAAAAAGTAGAGCGAGTAATTGAGAGGCTTAGCTGACTTGAAATAAAGAGCCAGGTCAGTGGCGATGATGGCGATGTCGGTGAGATGAATCACATGCTCAACCTGTCGCCTGTGAAGGTTCTGGTAGATGTTCAGTGACTGCAGGTGAGGCGAGAGCAGAGAGCTATGTTAGTAAATGAAGGCTGATGAAAACATTTACAGTAAAGAAAAAGTAAGGGTTTGTTATTCTCCAGTGCACGTCTTCTTCTCTCACCTCGTCAGCCAAGAGGAACTTTCCAAACTCTAGATGGTGTCGCTCCATGATGGACGAGCCATGAAGCTTGGCCAGAGGGTTGCCAGATCTGTTGGTTAAATAATTTCGGTCGAAAAAAAGGGGAAAAAAAACAACCTTTCAAAGTAAAACAACTGGTTGCTTAAATCCTGAAAAAATGTTCAAACAAGAAAAACAATAAGGACAGCACTCCAAAATTGTATTTTAAGTGCCACATGAACGTTTTGAGCAGACGCTCTTCTTCAGCGTGTTACAATTACTGTTAGTAAGTAGTACTGTTACAATTTTCGAGAATTTTCAAATTTGCCTGTCACACGTTGAAGAAGAGCGTCTGCTCAAAACGTCCGTGTGGCAATTAAAATACAATTTTGGAGTGCTGCCCTTATTGTTTTTCATGGTTAAATAATTTCCTTATGAACGATCATTTAAACAGCCACAGCATGTACATACTGTACACTTTCAATAAATGTTTTTAAGATGAGTAGTCCCGTTTCGCTCTGGGAAGCCTCAGATTAAACAGAACTTTAATGACTTTAAAAGCCTAAAAGCACTTTTTATTATAAACAAGCTGCGTTACCATGGCAGCAATGGCTTAAGATTCATTTAAATCTTTAAATAAATCTATTGAAATTAAATTGAATAACATGTAAGACTGAGGAATAAACACATTGATCTGAGGTGGAATTGAGTACATGGATGCATTGTTGATATACTGTAGACTATTTCAAATAGTGTTAAGGTTGTTAAAACAATAATGCACAGTAATACTGTGATATGTTTGTGATACTCTTTAGATTCTTGACAAATACTGAATTTATTTTTAATTAATGGCTGGAGTACAATGATTGGTTTCTCTTCCAGCTACAATGTGACCATGTAAGCTGAGACATGAAGACAGAAACGCACATAACCCGAGCATGAAAACATAAAACACACAGGCCAGATACTGCAAGTGTAATTAACAGCACAAAGAACCACCTTAATAACATTATTGCAATGTATTAATTCCTAACAAATGTTTTGTGATGCTAATCATTACACCAGCATCTTTAATGTTTAATGACACGTTTAATGTGTTTCTTCTTTAAGTGCATTATCACACAAGAAATGTACCTTTGACCAGAATAAAACTGGACATGATGATGATGATCAGATATCTCATAACAATCCAGTTTTAAGTCTTTGCATGACAACGGTCATGTTGCAGTAAAATGAATTGAAGCTTACAACACCTTTAATTGGTTGATAAGTCACAGATTGAAAAACAGTCCCTCCTGATTTGTTCTAAAAACACAGTTACAGTTTGAAACCTCATTCAATTACTGATTCCTACTATAGCTTGTATATTACAGTGATACTTAAGTATTCCACTTTGGTCTCATCAGGGAAATTATTAATTCTACTTGAATTGAAATGGTTTTACTCCCATACGTTTGTGTGTGTAGCAAGATGGAGCCTTTAAAAAACAATTCATTGTGCAGTCTTATCATGTGCTGAACCGTGAACCTTTTACATTCACTAAAGTGTTTGCACTGATCTTGCAAAGTGTTGGATTTCTTTCTTTAATAAGAAACTATAAAGTATCAAAGACCACTGACTTGACTTGGTATAAGTTGTTTGTCCCCCTGTGGTCGATATCATGGAGGAAGCCTGCAGTTATCATGGCCATCACTTCTAAATCAGTGTAGTATCGCTTCAGCGCTCCAGTCTAAGGGAAGTAAAAAAAAAAAGGAAAGGCACAAACTTCAGATCATTTTCTTTTTTGAGGCTCTCAGACATTCACCAATTCACAGATATCCAATAGAGTAAAAAGAAATATACTGTACTGTTAAGAGTGTAAACATGGTCTGTCCCACGTTGAAGCCATGGCGCCAGTTGTGGTAGGTGATTCTTCTGTAGCCTTTACTGACCGAGTACATGAACCGAACCAGCACCTGACAACAGAGAACTCTTCAAATATGTGTACCTGGTGTTTAATATTGTATGTTTGTTGCGTATTTATGTTTCTAGATCACCTCCTGGGGGACCTGGAACTTCTTGACCACCCCGACCTCATAGTACATCTGGATCCCACACTTCACCAGCTCCATCTCTGTGCAATTAGAGTCTGCAAAGTGAAACTCGTAGATCTCAAACTTCTTAATCAGCGGAGGTAGGTCTTTTTTCTAAAATGGAAATGAAGGGAACAAAGCACAGTAAGAAAATACCAGGTAAGCATCAATCTCTGTCCCTGAGAAGCGACAAATCTATGAAAAAAGAAGTATAAAGACAATAAATGTGTGGACAAAAAAATGAGAAAAGTTTACGTTTTACCAGAATGTCTAAGAGCTCTTCCTCTTCACACTCTCTGGGTTCATTGCCATAAACCTCTCTGGTGTTCTGGGAGGGATGAGATGAGTTGTATTTATGAATGAATGTGCTAAATTGCCTCAACAAGCACAGACACAGTATATACTGAAGGTACTTTAAACCTCTCACAAAGTAAAACAGTCACACTAACAGAGAGGTTTGACTCTTTCTGTTTTCTTGTGTTTGGCACACTTGATTTTTTTTCTAATCCTAAATGTTTTCCTACATTATGATCTAAACTCGAGCACTGACCAGGATGTTCTGAATCTCGTCATCTCGACATTTGACGTGGTAGAGCACCATGTCTTGCGCGATCTCTTTGCGGTTCTCGATCTTGTTCATCTTGTCGTAAGTGTCCGTGTTCAAAACAGACCAGCCCAGGAACTGAGTCAAAGCCTGAGAAAACACAACGTCGGCACGATATGTTCAATATGTGTCTGGCTAAGATGATTCAGAGACAAAGTCCAGACTACATTGCCTCATACACATTTCATTTATTTTACTATTTCATGTTTATTTGTATAGGGACAAATATGGAGCGAGTAAATCGTTGCCACCCACTACAGCATTTATAGCCTAAGCTAATTAGCAATGCCTGTCCCTAAATGGGCCTTTAAAATACATTAGACTCAACGATAAATACAAATGAAACAGTACCAAACAAACACAACAATAAACAGACAGAAAGTCAGACAAAAAGTGAGTCATCTTGAACATTTTTTAAAACTACATCTTGATGATGGATGATCTAGTTTTGAAAACTCCTAGTGTCTCTTAATGCGCACTTAATGACAAACCTCCATGAGCTGCTCATCCTGATCATCAAAAGGCTTTCCATCTTTTCTGTTGTAAAAAGTGGCTATGCCGACAATCTCTTCTTTTTTGTTGACGATCGGGAGCGAGAGGACGTTTTTGATGGTCCAACCACTGCTGTCAAGTGGCTCAGTCTGCAACAAGAACAACATTTGATAGATTATTAACATATCTGAATATCTCAGGACTGGTTTCCTGAAGTTAAAGTCGTCATATTTCTTACACTTCAGTTTTGCTTTCTTTGAATTTATTACCTGAAACTGGAACATTTCATCTGCAGGCGCATTCATGATGTTGCAAATCTACCGAGCAGAAAAAAACAGGTTATTCACAGTGGGAAGATGTATTTATGTAGTTTCTAACTGATTCAATAGTTTGTACAAATGCAATGAGACTAAACGTACAAAACCACTCTCAGCAACATAAGTAGGCAGGCCGCTACTCAAGGCCCAATGATCTGCAGGCGGATTGCTGTGTGAGAGAAAGTGGACAAACTAACTGAGATGTAACCAGATTTGGTCCAAACACGGGCTTCAGAAAGATCTGTACTTACGGTATTACTTTGATGTCTTCCTTTCCATGTAATATATAATCAATCACTTTGTAGAAAATTACTTCCTGGGGGGGGGTAATAAAAAACAGATATTGAAGTTATAGAAAAATAGAAAAAAGAGCGACATCGACTAGATAGACATCTTATTGTGAGATAAATGAAAGGAGAAAATGTATACCCTTCCATCAGGAGTGACAGGGCCGGAGTAAGGTGCCTGCTCGCCCATCAACACTGGCCAGATGTCAAAAAACTCCTGAAAGAAGATTGAAATGTTTAGTACTTAATCCTGATTGATGAATGAGCAGAAATCATCGTATATTACAGGTAAAAAAAAAGAGGGAGACACATCACCTTTTCCTTTGTCATGTCTAGTAAACCCACAGAGTAGCGGTCACAGTTGAGGTAGGCTCGCACCGTGTACAAGGCTTTGTGAAACTGTCGCTCGATGTCCGTCAGCTCTTCAAAGACCTTGTTGGCAGACCACAGCAGCAGCTAGGGAACATATCAAACATACAGTCATGTCAAGCATCCATTGTATGAAGAGTAAAATGTATGAGGAGCAGCTTACCTGTCCTTTACGTGTCTCACAGCTGTGGAGGTAGCTCAGGTGGTAGATCTTCAAGTTCAAAGTGGCAATTTTTAAATACTTTAGAAAGAGCTTAAGGGAAACCAGGAAAGGGAAAGCTATTAAAATCATGATAGGACAGAGATTTAGAACATTGACAAACAATATAAGATGCTGTGCTGAGTAAGAATATGGGATAAACATAAATTCATACACTGCAGAACGACACATAAGAAGATACTAGTTGTGAAACAAAAAGTTCAGTAATCCCCTAAATGTCAATTTCTTGGTACTTTTAATTTCATGGGTGAATTTTGGCCTTTGTAGGGGTTACTTTAAATCTCCGTTCAGGTTAATATATACATATGGGAGGGGGGATAGTGGGTGCTGTCAGATGTAACAAATGTATCATGTCATGTGTGTTTTTGTAAGCTGCTACTGGAAGCTTTGAATTTTCCCTCTGGATCAATAAAGTATCAATCTATCTATCTGTTAAGGTTTTGATCAATCAAGCTTTTTTGCTCACAGAAAAAAATCTGTGAAACACGGAGGCATATCTCAATAAACATGATCACTGATCTGATTACATCGAGTAACTTCAGACAAAAACTTATAATCCAAAACAATGATTAAACATTAGACACCATGAGACTCTCTTTGATTTTATCTTACATAATATTTAATGTAAGACTCTTCTATTGGATGAGAGTATAGTAGGATACATAACACAATATTCATTCGAATATTATCACTCGGGATCTTAGATTAGAACAACTACATCAACACAACACTTTATTTCATGCCTACTAAGAGGCCATTATTCCAGCCGTGTTTGATGTATTTACTGGTTTATTTTCATATATCCTGATTATTTTTCAGTCATAAAAAAACCCTGGTGAACAGTTTTTATGGGGCACATAGAGTATCTGTTCTAATGACTAGATTGATTACTGCTCCTGTCAGTGAGATGATATTCAGTGCAGAGTTTTTCTTAATTGTAGCTCATGATGTCATACCTGATAGTGACATAATGTAAATAAAGTCAATTATATGATATTGCTTCAAATCTATAACAGATATGATTACCTCAAGCTTATTTGGATTTTGAAGCATCCTTTCATGCTTTTATATGATAGATTAGAGACCTGACGTATTTTCAATACACACTGGTCCCAATTGCAATCTACCAGTAAGCTCAGGACTCCCCTCCAATCTGAAGTGATACACTGACAGTACTTTAGCTCTGTTTTCTTTAGATATGATCACAGAAAAGGTCAAACAAGGGTCACTGTCATCAGGGTGGGTCAAAAGAAGTATGTGTTTTGAACTTGTGGTGGTGCAGTATATGGGACTCACATCTTCGTCCTCAGCAGTGAAATGTGGACCTGTGGTCTTGTTTAGTGCCATGATCACAGCCACCATGTCTTTGCCGTTCAGGATGGGCGTTGCCAGGACGTTACGGGTTTTGTAATCTGTGAGTTCATCCACGAATGAGCTGAAGTGCTGGCTCTAAAAGTCAAGAAAATACATTTTAGTAGTGAAATGACCAATGTGTTTGTCACATTGTTTAGTACAGCGAAACGTTTTATAATCAGTAAAATGAGCTAATTATGTATTTATCTGAGGATTACTTGAACACACAAATGAAGGCGTTCTTTAGAATACAATGTCTCGATACAGTGACTCGTTTTGATCTGTGTTAGATTCCTGCTGACTAAATGCCAGAGGCATCTAATCCACAGTTAGAGCAAGGCCTGATGGGATCTGGAAATAAATGGATTATGTCTGAAGTGGGATTAATATCTTCTGTGTTTCCAATTCCACCTGTCTGCTGCAACCATTGAATGGTTTAATCAATGTGATTCATGAATTCATTAAGATATTGTAGGTAGATATCCTGAATACTGTCAATACTGAATACAGTGTTCACTTATTACAGTCATAGCTGTAGCTGTACAGTGCTTTTACATCATTGTGTTATTGAAATCCACCTGACAAATAAAAGATGAATGAAGGCATTAAATACTATATCGATTGATTCAATTGTATTCTTACGGCGAAAAACTAATTCTTTAAATTGGGGTAAGAGGTATATTTTGACAGGTGACCGTTCTGTAAAGTTTCCAAAATTGCCAAAAATGGTCGCGTTAAAGACAATCATACATCAGTATGAAGACGCAGTGAGATTTAATTTAGATTCTCAGCAGGACCTCGTCTCAAAGTGCCGTTTAAGTGAGTCACTTGTTTTTAATGAGCAAAGTGAAAATCATCCTGATTACATCACTTCATAATGAGGGGTGGAAATCACAGGGTCTCTCTCAATACGATACGATAATATCATAATTGAGATATTACAAGACAATCATTTATTGGACACATCACGATATTTGATTAACTGAATGCATTTGTTTAAGCTATTTTAAATGGTAAAGCTAAATCCTTTCCCTTCTTTTGGCTGCTGTCTGATATTATCCTGCTATCTATTTCTTCTTTTATATCTCTGTATTTCATTTATATTATCTTGCTGTATACTTCTTCTTTGGCCAATCAACGTCCATTCAGCACGTCCTCACTCATAAACATCACCGTGAGTGGTGTTATGAAGTGGTGAAGCGGTGAGTCAAATTTGCAGGGAAATCTGTTTAGAACGCTTCTTTAGGGAAGGATTTATCTATATCTATCTATATTATCTATATAATTGCATAACACATGTCACGATGATGTTATATCACTGTATCCGTAGTTTTTTCCAGCCCTAAACATAGCTGTTTAAGCTGTTTTGTGTTAGATCTGAAGGTGAAATCTGTGGTGTCATCTGATGGAGGTATAATGAACGACTCTGTTACATGCAACCCTTCAGAGCTGTTAAAAATCTGCCTCCCAACCAGATAGAGCAGAATCAGTTTGAGTTTTAAATTAGTGGTCATTGGTGCATTTTCTCCCAACCCATCCTTACCTCTGTGACATCTTTGACATTAACAGTCTTCTTGGTCAGGGCCACATGGCCGACTATTCCCATGTCCAGCGGATAGACGATCTCAGAGTCTGGTGGCACCACGCAGTCATCCAGTTGTGCCTCATTGTTGACGTTAAAGAGCCTTGTGGCGAGCTCCCCGATGCCGTTCCGCTGTCGGTACATGAACAAGCTGCATCGGTCTGCGTGGATGAGTGTGCTGATCCTCTTCAGGATTTTGAAAACCACTTTTTCCATGTTGATGTTCTCCTGCATGTCTTTGATCAGGTCGTACATGATTTGGCTTTCCTCACACTTGAACAAGAGGAGAAAATAGTCACATTTTAAGAAGAAAATCTGGACATGTTTTTAGCATTAAAAACGTAATGAATTACCTGTCCGAGCTCCTGGAACTGGCTGAAGTCGACCTGTTTCTCAGAGACTGTGGACACCTTCGATATGGAGGAAGGAGTCATCTTCTTGGAAAAGTACTGTTTAGCAAATGCAGGGTTGTCATTGAGGAACTTTTCCACATCTTCCTTCTGCACACCCATCGCTCCTTCTTCCTCTTATTCTTCTTCCAAATCTTACTGTCTACTCCTTCTTCAGCTCAGCGATGCAGCTCCCACCTGGTCCACTTCTGCTCTAAATGAGCTACCTCCAACTTCTCAGAGCAGAAATAAGAGAAAAAGTTCAAGTAAGACAACGCACACTGATGTCAGTATTCCAGTTTATCCACAAAAAAATAAAAAAATAAATTGTTCCAAGAATTACAGACAAAAGGGAAACAAGAAGGGGGGCACATTCAGAGCAGGTAAAACATTATCCCCCTGCTCCTGGGATGAGCGGACAGAGTGTGGGCGAGCCCTGAGGAGGAGGCAGAGGGCTGAATCCAAACAATCCTTCTGTCATCAGCAGATAGAGCTGAAGGTTAGCAGGGATCTGCCTATGCTCAACTTGTCACCTGATCATCTGGTAAAGGATATGTTGGCCAAACGATCCAGTCTCCTGTGTGCTTCAGTACATGTAGTATAGTTGGGACTGTGCAGGTACAACAAAACTTAATAGATGAAGTGATTCAAATGGAAAAATATATATATATCAAATATAAATCATAGTAAAGCTGGGTTGCAACTTTCTGCATCCCAATGAATCTTTTAAGTTTTGATAGGGAAGAGAGAATTTCGATACATTTTAAGAATTCTTAAAAAAACAAACCTCTTTTTTTCCATGTCATTAAGTCTTTTAAGTATGGAAAAACTAATAGAAAAATTGAGATAGACTTGTATGTCCATGTGCATTTTAAGTCTTATGTTTATCATCTTATTCTTAGGTTTCTTTTGTGTTGTGTACACTACAATACTCTCTCTCTATCTCTGTCTCTCTCTCTCTCTCTATCTCTGTGTGTCTCTCTCTCTCTTTCTCACACACACACGCAGGTCTAATTGTACAAGCTCTTTAAGTCCTTATTAAACATGGCCTCCTCTGACATAAGCCCTATTTAGTTAGGACACTAGCTGATTATCTCAGCACCCCAACTCTCTGTCTTTCTCTTTAATGCAGTCTACATCGCATTGCATTCCTGAGTTTCCACACCAGTGACTGGTATAATTATTCTGACATTGTAAATGTTAAAAGATGTCGCCAATAGACTGATGTGGTAAAGAGACAGCTAGACGCTATGACAGTCATTCAAGATGTATGACAAAGTGTTGTGAGGGACAAACACAGGCGGACCCAGTAAGTATAAAAAGAGAAAGTTAATCCTTTCATTTAGAGACAGGAGGTCTTGTCTATTATAAGGTTCCATAAACACCTTAAACAAAAGGTCAAATGGATAATCTGCTTCCACTATAATAGACTACAGAGTGTGTGTACTTGTTGTGACTCCAGTGTAAAGCCACAAAAACCGAGCACGAGATGGAAGCAGAGAAGTTTTTTTCTTTCCTGACTTCAAAAGTAAGGCGTAAAGAGAAGGTCCAAATCTTAAATAATTTAGATAGCTAATAACAGTCAACAACAAAGCTTAGCTGTCTGTGAGGATTTATACGCTCACAATGACAATGATAGTACACTAAAGGTTATGTTCACCAGGTCTGTTATCTTAGTGAATTGTGTTGGCATGCTAAATGTGCTAATAGGAAAAAAACAAAGCTGGGGCTAATGACTATGACATTTGTTTTGTAGATGTGTGTTCCAAAACCGATATAGACCTTGACGAATGATGTTATCTAGTACCTACTAAATCACATTTTTTTTAATCTCTTCTGAAACCTTATTTTGCCTTGGCTGATTTTTTTTATGGTGCCTCAATTTACTTGAATTATAATTAAACTAAGCCAAAGAACCAATTACAGTGACCAGTAACAGTTTCGGTATACATAGGCTACTACAGTGTATTGTTTAAGGATAACTGCTAGAAGAGAAATGTTGTAAACATATTCTTTCATTTTCACTGACAATAACATATTTTTCTCTCATCCAATTTAGAATAAGTGATTGAGTCACTTTTATTTTTTAATTCTTAGAAGCTGCAATGCCGTCATTGACCTCAAGGGAGCAGCAGAGCCATAGCAGCGGTACTCGTGAGCTGCTGGACAACTCGTGTTCAGACTTTAGAGCTCTTCTCAGGACTATGTGGGCATGGACCATAATACCTCTGCCAGACATCTCTACCTCCTCCTCCACCACCAACAGTTGATTCTGGCACATAGGAACAACTATAAGAGGTATTTATCAACTCATTCAAATATTCACAATAAATATATTCATCATTTATCAATATGTTTCTCAGATGATGTCATTAGTCAGGACAACGTTTCCTTTTTTTAGCACTATGAACTTGTACTTGTGATTTAGTTTTTCACATTTGACGGTACTTTATATTTCTACTCCACTTAAACTCAGAGGTCAGTATGTGACTTTTTACTCCAACTGAAGATGGCAGACAGCTGTAGACTTATTGTTCAATTTTAACTTTGACAAAACATACTCGTCTGCCTTCATCAGCTGAATCTTCTGAATAACACCTGTACCGTTGCCTCTACCTGCAGACTGCATACAGACTCTTACAGTCCTAATCTCCACCTCAACAATCCTCTGAAACACACAGGCATCTGCTGCATCCACCGCTTGTCCTCTACTACGCCAACAATAGTTGCCTCCAACTGCTGCCACTACCAACAGACGGCAGCTTGGCCTCCATCTGCAGGTTCAGGCGGAGAACTGCATGAACCTCCTGTTCTAGAAAACTCAGACCTTAAACCTACAGAAGCAAGAACCTGCACTTAAAGCATATTCTTTTATGAAACTGCTGGCAAAGCCTCCAACATCTGCCTCTGCCAGATATCAGCAGCTGCCGCCTCCACCTGCAGATTCTGTCAGACAGCTGAAGCCCCAGTCTCCAGCTACTTCTTCTAAACTACTGCCACCTACACCTTAAGCTTCTGCCAGCACACTTGCTGTCACCACCAGATTGTGGATCACACACTTAAAGCTCCAACCATGCAGCAACTTGCATATCTGCCTCCACCTTCCTCCATCTCCAGCATTGAGAAAAACCTGTAAGCTTCTTCCTCCTTCTACTTCACAAACAGTAGCAGTGCCATGCCTTCTATCCAAAGTCCACATCCAGTTGCAACGATGTGCAAGCCCGGGTCAAACCTCCACCAAAAGCCCCTGCCTGCTTTCTGCCAACTTCCTGTGCCTCCTGCCTTAGCCAGCTACCTCCACTTCTACTCCTGCTGATGATTCTTCCTAACAGCCTCCACCTTCATCCAGCAACCTTCACTTCTGTCTCCACCTGCAGTCTGCTCCTTCCACTCGACTTTAAAGTACTCAGTGTGATGCACAGCTCTATGAGATATTTGTGAGCGTCTCAGTGTTTAAATGAGTTGTCAGATTATGTTTTGAAGAAATGATCAAACCTGAAGAAGTCAAGAAGTAACAACAGGACTGATAAATGTCTCTGTCATACAACTTCAACTCTTATCCCGAACAATCTCAAATGTTTGCAGGTCTGATTTCCTCGTGAATGTTAATAACCCCACAGTTGACTCTGGTATGATTTCTTCGTGGACTTTGTTGATGTACGGTGCTTTATATCAAAGATTTTCTTTGTGCTTTTCTTCAGGTCCTGCTGTAATTCAGGGACATCCAGATCTGCAGGAGCTGATGAAGGCCCATTCAGACAGTTCCTTCTGCTACAAGATCTGTGCACCAGAGATGTCTTTATCTCCTCCTCATCCTCCATGATCACCAGCGACTCCTGCTCCTCTCCTGAACTGAAAGCTCCTCGTCACATGGGCCCTTCAACTCCACAGGGCTTCCTCTGATCCCCTCCACAAGTCACCTCCATAATAGAGAAAACATTGGACAATTGGTACTTTAAAAACAGCTCAAATATCTGCAAAGATAACTCAATATGTAACTTATGTAGATGTTTTTTAAAGGTACAAATATTTAGTGTCAGAAAAATTACAAATATCTTAAAAATATTACAACTAGACAAACAAAAACTTTTATCTTATAAATGAAAGAAAGTAATTTTTTCTCTCTTAAAATGTAGGAAATGTTTTTCAATTTAACATCTAATTAAAATAAGGCTCTATAAATCAAATGTAACTGAGTTTAAATAGAATATTGTGCTCAAATATTTCAATTTGTTAGCAACATGCTAAATACGGGTCAGGAGACATACTTCCGGTCCGAGCTTTGTTTGATAAGCTAGCATCTGTCCGTATAAATTATTTAAACAATATGCAAAGATTGATCACTAAAACAACTACGTATTCTTTTTAATATTATTTGTCAAGGTGTAAAATGTATTTCAGCACAGAACTTTTTATTTCAAGCTGCTAGTTGACTGGCTGGCGAGCTCTGAATTTAACAAAGTACCTGCATCAAACAGATTTATAATTGTAGTTATTTGAATTTTCAGGGAAAGTGAAAAAAAACAACATCTAAGTAACAGGTTAGTTTTAATTTACTGAGACAAATAGGAACAATAAAGTGAAAAAGAATAATCGTAAAAATCCCCCAAAATAAATAACAAATATAAAAAAACTTACATTATTTCACCTTAATCAGATTTGACCTTTTTTGCATTAAAGCTTCTGTAAAAATATCAGCTTATTTATTTAACGTAAATAACGATTACAAATTGTTAAAAGTTTAAAAAATAAATGGACTTGTTCACAAAATGTCAAACTTGTAAAATGTTATTATTGTTGAAGCTTGTTAATTTAAAAGAAAACTTCACAAAATGAATATTTAAATAAAAATATCCTGTTATCTGTGTTTTGACTCATTTTTTAAACTAAGTTTTATAAAGCATAATTTTACTTAAGTTATTAAAAGTTGTACACAAGAGATTTATGTACTCATTAACATGTTCAATAAATATACTCATAAAATAATTAAATGTCTCCGATGATTTGATTGGTTCAGACAATGTTAGTTTATTTTTTGTATTTAAGTTGTGGTTGTGGTTTTTCACATTTGATTGTACATTTTACTCCACTTAAACTCAGAGGTGTGACTCTTCACTCCTCTG